GGGTCCTCTAGTCAAGAGAGGCTGACACTGTCCCTGCAGGGACTTGGCCACCTCTCGGGTACCCCTGTGTGTCCCACAGGATACCACCTCAAATCGCCAGCCAGGGACTGACCTGGGACACAGTGGCCGCTGCCCAGCCAAAGCTGTGCCCTGAGATATTTGTCCCCCAGCCCTGGGGAGGTGGCAGACTTGCTGTCACACGTATGTGCCCAGACCCACCTTCACCAGACTCTTTTCCCAGGAAATGGGGAGACCACTGGGCTGGAGTGGCCCTGTCCGGGGCCTCTGGTGGCCAACCGATGGCTGCCTGTGTATCAGGAGCTGAGAAGGGGAGAGAGAATGGTGTGTGTGTGCACATGTATGTGCGTGTGTGCCCATGTGAGGCTTTCTGCTGGCTGGCAGGTATGGGGAGAAGCTCTGGGGTGGTTGGGAAGAGGACGTTGGCCAGTGAGTCTGGAAGGGCCTGCACGTCCTTCCCCCAAACCTCTGTGGCCCCTGCACCCCACTCAGCCTCCAGGGCAGCAGAGGGACGGGGCAGTGGTTTCTGGGATGGGCTGGCATCATCTTCAAGAAGACTTGAGGCCCCTTGGCAGTTTGGGGGCTCCATGAGTTTTGGGGGATTGACAGTATCACCACTCCCCATGCCTGGGAATGTCACAGGGCTAGGGGACTGGGCCTGGGAATAGAAGATCTCACAGACACTGCATGCCCAGAGGAAGGAGGCTCCCATGTCTGCTGAAGCTGCAGCCTAGAATCAGCCACGTGTCCCCCATGGACTAAGGAAAGGAGGGGACATCTGCAGGGCCTCCAAGACTACACCCTTCCTGGGCCAGCACTGAGGGTCCCAAGTCTCTGCAGCAACCCATGTGGGTGGAGGCACTAACTCCCTGCCCCGAAGCTCTGAACCACAAGGCGGTCCCAGCCAGGGAGTACCAGGTGCCATCAACCCATCTGCAGTTTTCTGAGCACGCAGGGCTCCCAAGGGCCTGGTCCTTGCCCAGGTGAGGCTCTCCTCAGAAGGCTTCTCTGAGCTGTTGCCCTGGTCCAAGACCTAGTGGGACTCCGGGTCTACAGAGCCTAATCTGTGAGCCATGCATGCTGAGACCTGAACAGCTAATCCATGGTGCTGGGACATGCAGCCCCTTGCCTGGGCTAGAACCAGGATTTGATCCTCCTGCCCCAGGCATGCATGCGTGCACACACATGCACAGACACAAACTGGCTATGTGCACATGCACATGTCCCTCGGGCCTGACACACATGTACATACGTACCCAGACACACCAGCACACATGTACACAAGCACACACATTCACACATGCAAACCAGTGTACATGTGTGTGCATAGCTACACAGATGTACACATGTATGCACATACATGCACACACCATCACACATGTACACATGTACACAGGCACTCATACAAACTGGTGTACATGCATGTGAGTTCACAGAGACACACATGTACAAGACACATGCACACAGGCACATGCCAGCATACAGGTGCACACATGCATAGCTGTGTACACAAACACATGTACATAGACATGCATGCACACAGGCACACACCAGTATACATGTGCACACAGGCACACACATGTGTACATACACACTCAGACAGGCTGAGCTCAGGAGCCACGCCTAGGAAGGCCCCACCTGGACATCATTTAGTTTCCTCATGGTCAGTGGGTGCTGGTCAGTAGCAGAGACATGGCAGCAGTGAGGAGTGAGAGGAGAGAGGTGCTGAGGTTGGAGGGAGGGTGAGTGGGGCACAGTGCTGGGCGCCGCTGGTGTGTGTTAAGGGACATAGGACAGCAGGGCCAGTCCTGCAACAGAGGCAGAGCCCCCGCCCCCAACCCCCATCCAGGACAAAGAATGGGGTATAGGAAAGGGACCCCTGGTCCTTTAATGACCTGCTACAGGCCAGGGGCACTGATGTCTTCTCGGTGCATTTCACCCTCATGTTGCTGTGACTCAGGGAAGGTGGACACTGCCTGCACTGAGCCCTGGCCTCCTGTAGGGCAGAGGCGGGCCACAGAGGCTCCTCACCCCAGGGGCTGCTGGGGGCACTCAGTGGGATCAGGGACCGGTTGGTCTGGAGCAGGGGGCTGTTAACGCTTAACAATCCTCCTTTGTATTTTCCTCCAACGCTGAGAGGACACCCACCCATGCCAGGGCCACCTCTCCAATAGTCCCCACTCCCCTGGGTTGTCCTTGCTGTGGCCCAGCCCTGCCCTGAGTGCTGGGCACAAAAATTAGAAGACCCAAGCCCCGCCTTCCAGAGCTAAAGGGAAAAACTGAAGTGCAGATAGGGAAACCTCAGCACCCAGGGCGGTGCAGCCAGGAGCAGGCAGGGAGCTGGAGAGAGGGTAAGGGTGCAGAGGGAGGTGCCCTGGGGCCCCACGCCACCCCTCCATGCAGGGACACAGGAGGTGGGGGGCCTCTCAGTGAGTCTTCAGCAGACTCGGAAGGGGCTGAGTGGGTGCGGGGCTAGGGCAGTCCCAGAGAGGGCTCCGCCCTGCCCTCCTGGTGTGCATCTGCCCCCTCTACCTTTCTGTTCCACACCCACATTGCCCAACCCAGGGGACCCTGGGCAGCTCAGACCCATTCTGGGTTCCGTACAGCAGCTCCTGACCTACAGTTCTGTCCTGATGGTGGAGCCTAATGTCCACTCACAGGATGGGGACTCAGGGCAGGAGGCTGTGCGGCAGACACCTCCCCTCTGCCCTCATTTCTGCTCCCTACTGGAGATGGGAGCACCTCAAGACCTCAGCCCACCAGGGAGGCCAGACCCAGGCACTGTATCTTCTGGCCCCTTCACTCCTAAGCAAGAGCAACGACTCTGGCCCTGGGGCGGCTTGAGGAGGGGAAACCAGATCTTCTTAGACATGGAGTTAGTGTCCCAAGGCCTGGGTATAGCAGTGCAGAGCTCTGGTGCAAACTCCTGTGCTGCCCACTCTGGGCGAGTCACTCAGAGCTTTGAAACTCAGTCATCTTCTCCATAAATGGAGTATAATAGTGCCCATGTCATGGAATGGTTGTGAGCACTGAAATGTTAAATATCATCATACGTGAGTAAGCAGTAGTTAGCTGTCAGTCCTAGGTGACAATGGTAATAGGGTCAAGGTGGTGATGGTGCTGGTGGTGATGGTGCTGGTGGTGGTGATGGTGGTGATGCTGCTGGTGGTGATGGTGATGATGGTGATGGTGATGATGATGGTGTTGGTGTTGATGATGATCATGGTGTTGATGGTGATGCTGATGATGGTGATGGTGGTGGTGGTGGTGGTGGTGCTGGTGATGAAGGTGACGGTGCTTGGGATCTCCAGGATCTGTGACCCCTGTGTGCTTTTCCCACAGGGTTACTGGTGGGGAGCTCTTTGAAGACATCGTGGCCAGAGAGTACTACAGTGAGGCTGATGCCAGGTGGGTGTGGAGCCCTCGCACTGTCCTGCCCTGTCTTCCCTCACCTCCTCTCTTATCCCTCACTCAGCCCCACTCCTGCCCCTTCTTCTAACCCGTGCCTATTCCTGTGTGATAGTGTCCTTTCCATGGCCCAGGCACAGGGTCGGCTGAGCAGAAGGTCAGTCTGTCTGCCCAGCTGACAGCCCCACCTAGCCCTGCTGGGAGCTCTCTGAGCAGGCCAAGGAGCCGGGGCAGCTCCTGTGTCCTTGACCAGCACGGGGTTGTGGCCCAGGTAGGGAGTGGCCCATGCCTGCTGCATTTACCTGGGGCCGGAACTGTCCCACAGAGGTGGTGCTGGCCTTGGGGTGGCTGTCGGGGAGCAGAAGGAGACAGTGTGGTCGTGGGTATCCTCTTGCCTTTGCTTGGATGCCTTAGCTCATGACCCATAATGGCCACCCTTGGCTAACTTCCTCACAGAGATGAGCAGTTTCCAAATGCTTTTCCCAAAAAGACAGGCCAGGAATCCCTCCCACAGTGTCCAGCTTGAGCTTAAAGCCCAGGGAAGTCAGCAACCTGGACTGGTGGCAGCTGGCTGGGAAAAGGGCTGCTGGATCTCCCCCAGGTCCCCTGCAGCCTTGCTCACCCCCACCCCGGGGCAGGAGCAGGAAGCCGGGAGACCTGAAACCTCAGCACAGGCTGAGAGGCCACCTCTCTTCCGCGCCCAGGGGGATGAGGGATGAATGGTCTCAGAGACTGCTGTTTGTGGCATGACTGCTTGGTACCAGATTGAGGGATGGCACATGTCAGCTGGGAGATGACAGCGTTTCTGTTCCTGGAAGGATAGTCTACTTGTGGCGTGTTGTGGACCAGGCCAGATGCCACCATGACAGAGGTGTCACTTGTAGCAGTGCATCTTAGCTCAGGGACAGCTGAGGGCCATCACTCTCTGCCTGCTGGGCTCTGCCCACCGCTGCTCTGCCACAGAGGTGTGCATTGAAAGAAGATAAAAGGCCAACAGTGGCCCTCTCTAGGCAGAAGAATTATAGGTGATTTTTAATGTTTTATTTTGTCTAATAACTTATTTTTTTTTTAATTTTATTAATATGTATTTTTTACATTCTAGGATGTTGTAGAGCAGTTGGGAGGGGGAGGGAGGGGAAAGGGGAAGGAAATGGGATGGAAGAAGGAGGAAGGAGGAAGGGTGGGATTGAGGCCTGTGGCACCCCCTTCTTTCCCATAGGGGAGACTGGGGGGCTTCCAGCGGTGGCTTGGTCATTGCCGGGCTGGGTGCAGATGTCAAGGGAGTGTGGCAATAGCCCCCCACCGTTCTAGCTCAGGAACCTAGGGCCCTTCTTTGCTGAGGCTTGCTGGTTGTCACTGGGCTGGTTGAGAGTGGCGGGGTTGTGGTCGAGAACCTCGGCCCCCTGCCACCCTGGCTTGGGAGAGCCTGGGGTGCCTGCTGCGGCAGCTCAGTGGTCATCGCTGGGCTGGTTGCTCATACAGTGGGGCGGGGGGGGGCATTGCTGAGGCCCTTGGCCCCCATCCTTGGGGCTGGTTGCAGGTTTTGAGGGGCATGGCCGAGGCCCGCAGCCCTCCTCTCTTTCTGGCTTGGTAGCCCAGGGGATTTCCAGTCCTTTTAGGTGTTATAGGTTTTCTTTGGTGAAATGAGACCTTTACTAGTTATCAAACTTTGTCTCTGGTTGTGGGTATTTTTTTTTTCTTTCAATTCTGTGTTGGATTATTTGCTGTTCCCACCACTTAAGCTCTACACTGGAACTAATTTGTTGTCTTTTGCTTACTTCTAAAGTGGGGGAACTTCCTGTGGGAAGTTGAGCTCGGGGGTTGAGCTAGATTGCTGCTTTGCTGCTCATTCCCTGGGGAAGGCTTTTTGTGCAGCTCAGGTTTTAATGGTTGACTTTATAGGTACTTTCGGATCTGGTGAAATCTGGTGCACTTGGGTTGTGTAGAAACCCTGGACTGGGCCTGAGTCTTTTCATCAAACTGCACCCAATGCAATTCTGTATTCCTGACCAGTCTCCTCTGAGTGGTCCTGCACTGATTGGGGGGCAGATCAGCTGTCCTTGCTGTGCCCCAGTGTTCCCAGGGCTCAGGGGCACTGGTTTCTTTTCTAAGGCTCCTTGAGGAAGGACTTTGTATTTTGCGAAACAGCTGTCCCCTTGGCATGGAGGATCATGGAGGAAGACGAGGTTTTTCTTTATATTTGACTTATCAGAAAAGCAGAAGGCTGGCTGGTTAGCTTACTTGGGAGAGCGTGGTGCTGGTAACACCAAGGTCAAGAGTTCGGATCCCCTTACCAGCCAGCTGCCAAAATAAAGAAAAGGAAAGTGGGACAGAGCCACCTCCTCCTGCTCTGAAGTGCTGGGTGGGGAGCTTCACAGAGCACACTGGAGCATGGACTCAAGCGTGAGGAGGGGGCATCTGGCCAACTGGAGCCTCCCACCCACAGAGGGGACCCCACGGCACAGAGTCCTGGCAGTGCCTGGACTGAACACCTCCTGGGCACCACCCTGGGGCCTGGGGCTCCCTGCAGCCCTCTGACAGCCCCCACTCTGCCCACTGTCCCGCCCATAGCCCCTGCTCTGTTCCCTGCCCCCCAGCGCCCTGTCCTCTCTGATGCCCCCCCCATTCTCAACATCCTCAGCTCCCAGACCCTCCCCCGCTCCTGTTAATCCTCTCACGACCCCCTGTGATTTGGGGGTCCTGCCCCAAGTCAGCCTCCCTGCAGCCATGCTCCCTGAGGCCAAGCCTGGAGGGGACTACCCAGGACGGGCATGGGCCCAGACAGCTCTGGCTACAGGGGTGGAGGGGCATTGTGTGGCTTTCCTCCACACACCAGGGCGTCAGCCCCTCTGCCCACCAGGGGGTGGCCTCAGCCACTTTTTGCTCATTGTCCCAGTCTTTCTCCGTCTCTTTCTCTGATGGTCACACAGCTCCCCTCGGGCCCTGGTGGCCTGGCCCAGCAGCAGGAGCCCTACCTGCCTGGCCCTCAGATCCTCTGTCACAGGCCAGGGAGGCACAGAGCTGCCTGGGTGCTGGGGACCCCTGCCCAGGACTGGAGTGGCTTCAGGGTGGGCTCAGGAAGGGAGAAGCTGGGGTTTTCTGGGGTCCTCAGGAGTTTCTCTAGCTCTTCAGGTCCCAGGAGGCTTCACAGGAGAAAATTGTAGTGTGCTGGGAGGGGAGGGCCTGCTGCGCCCTTGCCAGGCATGGTTGCTCCCTGCTCTAATGGCAGGTGTCCCCACTTCTCCCCAGAGGACTCTCTATGTGGAGGGTGCCCCTGGGTGTTTGGGGTCCCTTCAAACTGGTCCAGAAGGGATGGGGCCGGGGCTTCTCCCTGTCCCGCCTGCAGACCCCTGGTCTTGTCTCACACACTCTGCTGCCTCTCTTGGGGGCTGGGGCTCAACGGGGGGTTCTCGGTAGCCAGGCTGAGGAGGGGCAAGCAGCCCAAGTCCTGTGGGGGTACTGGAATCTGGGCATGATTTGGGAGGCTGAGTGTCACGGGGGCAGGGGAGGGAATGAGGGAGCCTCCTGGAAAGTCTGCTCCTTGGCTGGCCCCACAGATGCCACCAACCTCAGGTGCCCTCTTTACCTCTCCAAGCCCTGCGCCCTGCACAAGGAGAGGCGCTGCCAGCAAGGGGGTCATGGCAGCCTGCATGGGTCTGACCCCTGCCCCGTGCCTCAACAGCAGTGCCCGCTGGAGGGTCTGCCTGGGAGGCCCTGTGGGTGGTCGCCCCATAGGCTCTGCTGGGAACTCATGGCAGGAGCGTGGCAGAGGAGCAGGGCTTGGCCTAACCCCAGGGGGAAGCGCCGAATGGAATCAGGGCTGTGCTAAGACAGAGAGAGAGGACCAGGCGCCAGGCAGGAGTGGGCGTAGCCACGTGGCCAGAGCCAGTGGGAACGGCGCTGTCCTAACGAGTGCAGACCTGGCCTGGGCAGGTGTGGTAGTGACTCCAGATGCCTGGCGCTGCTCAAAGTGGAGCATCTGATGATCTCCGATGAGCCGCATCTTGGGAGAAGGAGGGAACGAGACAGGAATTGCTTTTCTGAACTCGTTTCTAACCAAGGACGTTGGAAATCCCTCTTGGGAGGAAGCAGGATTTTAACTTTGGAGTTGGTGAGGAAACTGAGAGCTGTCCACGTCTTTTTTAAAATGGAGAAAGCGAAGTTCAAAACATGTAGAATCTGTGTTTTAAAAACCTTAAAGGGCCGGCCCGGTGGCGCACTGCTACAGTGCACCTCTTGGAAGCGCGGCGGCGCTCCCGCTGAGGGTTTGGATCCCACATGCAGACCGGTTCCCGCTGGCTGGCTGAGCGAGGTGCGGGTGCGACGCCGAGGGTTGCGGTCTCGTTGCCGGTCCTGGTCCGGTGCGGGCGTGACACTGAGGGTTGCGATCTGTTGCCGGACACGAAAAAAGACAAAAATAAAATAAAATAAAATAAAATAAAAATAAATAAAAACCTTAAAAAGCAGGCCGGCCCGGTTGCGCACTGGAGAGTGCGCCGCTTGGGAGTGTGGCGGCGCTCCCGCCGAGGGTTCAGATCCCATGTGGAGACCGGTTCCCGCTCACTGGCTGAGTGCGGTGCGGGCACAACACTGAGGGTTGCGATCCCGTTACCGGTCAGTAAAAAAAAAGACAAAAAGGAAAAAAAAAAAAAAACTTAAAAAGCAATATGGTTCATGAAAGGAAGGTGGAGGGACCCAGCGAGATGCTGATTGTCCCCAGGGGAGACATCAGAGCCCAGACTGTGAGAATGATGCCCAGGATGCTACTTGCGGACAATTCTGACCACAAGAGTGACCTCCTAAACTATTCAGAACATGATGAAAAGCCCCTAGAGGGGTCGGCCCTGCCTGAGGAAGATGCTTGGTATTGACAGGTGGAGTTGGCCTCGCCCTTCCCAGGCCACGGTCTCACATGGGGACAGGGCAAGAGTTTAGCCAACTCGTTCATGAGCACGGATGTGAAGAGCCTGCAGCCTGCATGACAAGTGGGTGGGGGTTAAGGGGGAGGCTTAATTTCAGCAACACATCCCAATCCCCGTGAGACCCTCATGGTCACCATGGAGAGGTGCAGACCAGACACTGGCTCAATAGTCGCTGTGTCTCTGGCATTGGTTTAGGGCCCAGCACTGCCAGGAGGAGAGGTCAAGGAGGACCGGGCATGCTGACTGTGGTGTCGGGAAGGCATCCTTGAGGGATGACCGCTGGAGGACAGGGGACACAGGGCACAACCCGGAGCTGCAGCCAGGACTCACGCTGGAGGAAGTGCCCCGAGTCTGGCGCTGTCTCCTGTCCTCAGCATCAGACTGTGAGGTGTGCATGGTGCAGGCCCAACCGCTGTGGGCCCAGGGAGGTGGCCCTTCCAATGGCCACAGGCTCCACACAAATCACTCTGCTGGAGAGCATCTGAGGGCAAAGGAAAGGCCAGCCTGCAGGGCTGCAGCAGACCACGGTGATGGGCTGGATGGAAGGGCCAGAGATCTACATCCCCTCCCAAGACAAGCAGGGCCAAGAATGGCCACGGGAGCCGGCCGTCCACACTGCGCAGCTGCGCAGGAAGGGGGTCACACTGAGCCCTCATGCATTCCACAGGGTCTGGGAGGACATCTGACCCACTGCCTCAGCCCCACTGGCCTTGGCTTTCCATGCTAGACACTTGCGGGAGGCTGAGCTCTGCCCACTCGAGTGAGGCCCCTCAACTGGCTTGAGTGGGTGAGGCTCACGGGCCTTGCCAGGGACACAGCCAGCTGCTCACAGGGGACTGACACCCTCCGATGTAACAGGTGCCGGGCTCCCTCGGGGACAGATGAGGGTGTCAGGCTCCTTACGGTGGTTCCTCACGGGCAAGCTGCAGGGACACAGCCCCTGATAGGAGTGGCAAGAGCTGGAAAGGTGGCCAAGGGGGTTTGGGGAGCAGCTGGACAGTGGGGGAGATGCTTTGGCCCAGGGCAGGAGACCCTAGGGCAGTGAGGGGCTGGAGACCCCAGGGCATGTCAGAGTGGAGATGGGATTGTAGTTCCTGCCCTTGGTGACATTGAAGGGGAGGCACTGAGGGGCTGTCTTCACAGGTGCGGGCCTGGCTTCTCTGAGCCCCACAGACATTAGGCATCCACCATCCCATTGGGATCTGAGGGCTGGGTTTCTTCAGGGAGGAAACTCGGATTTGCTCTTTAATGCGGTAGCTGGTGGTGTCCAGATGTGGCCAGGAGGTGGGGAGCTGTTTGAGGGAGAGGCTGGACTCCTATGGCCTCTCTGGGTTTGCCGTTAGGAAAACAAAGACCACCCCTCCCTCTGATCCTTGGTCACCCCACTGTCCTACCCCATACAGGACCTGGCTGGGATAGGAGGGTCCTGAGGGGCCTACCTGTCCCTTCTGCGCCCCTCCCAGAGGGGCCATGACTGAGCCTCCGGCAGGTAGGCTTCAGGCAGCCTTAGCACAGGCCTCCAGGCCCAGCAGGTGGCCTTGGGGTGGTGGCTGCCATTGCCCTGCAAGGTGGAGCTGTCCCTTAGGGTGGGGCACTGGGTGGGGCCCCAAGAGGCCTATGCCTGGCACCAGGAGCACTTAGGAAGGCAGGCTCAGGCCACAGGGTCTCGTGTGTGCAGGGCTGGATGGCCCTGGTCTGATGTGCCCGAAGACAGATGTCAGGGAAGTGCCTGAGGGCAGCTCTGCCAACACTTCCAGCCGGTCACCTCCTGGGTAGCTAGGGACTTCTGCTGACAGCCTCCCTGCCTGCCAGAGGAAGGGCTGCAAGGGAAGCTGTCTGTGCTCAGGAGACCCAGCCATGCACACAGGGCCCCGTGGGCCCCTCAAGACCCCGGAGCTGAGCTAGATGCCCCCAGTGTTGCCTGAGCTGAGCGGTCCCACCCTGACTCCACTAGCCAGTGTGGAAGTTTAAATTAGGTTTATTTAAGTGAAATAGCGCAAGCACTAGCGCACTGTTCCTGCTCCAGAGCAGAATGGGCCCTGGTGCCTGGGGCTCGCCACACACCACGGCATCCACCTGCCCCTGCCTCGGCCCTTCCCTGCCGTGGTTCCCTACCCTGTGCCCACCCCCCTCACCACAGCCTGCCCTACAGGGTACAGACTCAACCTGGCCTCCCTCCCAAGGGTGCCCAGCTTAGGGTCAGGCTTGGCCAACATGAGCCTGGGAAGAGGGTGCACTGGGAAAAGTCCCTTCCATGGGCCTGGCCCTGCCTCCCCAGCACATGTGGGCCCCCTGTGAAGGCAGGGCCAGGGCCGGCGGTGGAGCCTCAAAGCCCTCTCCTGGCCAGGACCTCCTCTCCCCTTGGTTCCCTATGTCCCCCTTGTCCCTCAGGCTGGAGACCGCACCCAGTGCCATATAGCACATCACCACCACCCCCCGTGCCTCCTCTCGCTGTTCCCCCAGCCTTACCCCGGGGGCCACTCCCACTAACCACCTGCTGTTTGCCACAGTCACTGCATCCAGCAGATCCTGGAGGCCGTTCTCCATTGTCACCAAATGGGGGTCGTCCACAGAGATCTCAAGGTGAGTCCCCACCCCACTCTGTGCATGTGTACATGTGGGTGTGCATGTGAGTCCACAAATGTGTTGTGGGCTCTGTGTGCACACATGTACAGCCATGTGCACGAGGATGGGCGTGTGTGTGCATGCTTGTGCACATGTGTGTGCATGATGTGTGTGTGCTCACATGGGTGTGTGCACATGTGTGTGTGGGGTGTCTGCACACGTCCCTCCCAATGCCTCCAGGCCTCCAGAGCTGGTGGGGGGTGCGGTCCAGAAATCAGCCTGTTAACAAATGTGCACTCAGGGTCTCACTTTCTGGGCTCCCACCAAATAGTGTTCCTGGTTGGTGGGGACACAGATGGCAGAGGGCTGGTGCCACTGGGAGCAGGGTGGCAAGAGCAGGCCTCACCTGGCTCTGCCGAGTCCTCCCAGCCCTTTCTCCAAGTCTCTGCTGCCCACAGTTCAGCTCTCAGCAAAGAAGCTCTGGGTTCTGTTCAAAAGAAGATTTGGTCACCCCCCAGGGTGCAAAGTGGCTGGGGCCTCTCAGAAGCCACCTTCCCTTCCTCCTCCTCCCTTCCCTTCCTTCCAATGCCCTGTCCTCCTCCTTCAACTGCATCTTCTCCAAGGCTTGGCTGAGCCAATTTCATTTCTCTGGGTGGGCAGTGTGGACCCTGGGCCTGTCACCCTGCTGGAGTTTAACACCAAACTTCCTGTGGGCATTTGTGCTGAATGGGGGTCACACACTTCCTTAGGCCATTGATGAGGGGGCTGGTGTTTGCAGCCATTCTGGGGAAGGTGTCTCTCCGGTGCCCCTCCACATGTCCCCACTGCCTCCTCCCTCTCCTCTGCATGTCCCAAGGGTCCTGCTCTGTCTTATTGGAGTCAGCCTCCCTCAGGGGCCCTGGGTTGGTGCAGGGACTCAGAGGTTCTGCTGTTAGGGGGCATGGACACTTTGTTTCCCTACCCAGCCATTGATCTAGTTAACGTTGAGGCCAAGACAGAGAAGTGGAGGCCAGTGCTCTCCCCTCCTCAGTTCTGGCGGCAATCCTTGCTGTGGTCTCCCACATCATCAAAGGGGGCAGAATGTGCCTCCTCTCCTGGAGAGAAATCCCACTATCTGATTGAGACAGCCCCAGAAGTGGTGCCATTGTGGGGTACCTGTCACCACCTGGAGGATGGTGGCAGAGACAGATGGTCAGGTCCCTCTCAGGGGGACTGGGAGGGGCCAGCATGGAGCCTGGAGGCAGAGACACAAATGTGCAGCCCAGCAGGGGTGGACCCACACCTCCTTGCCCAGTGCTTCCTCGGCCAATCACTTAATGCTCCTTCTCCACGGGAAGAAATATCATGGTGTCTGCTCTGCACAGCCTCTTCCCCTCCTTCCAGGCTTCCAATGTGGGTGTGCAAGAAGTTTGGGGCCCCCTGCCCTGCTCACATCAGCAAAATCAAGGGGTCCCAGGGACTCTAGGTCGATGCCTGGTGGGCAGGGGCACAGTGCTCCAGCCTTGAGGCAGGGAGGTTGAAGCAGGGGACAAGAGAGGGCAGGAGGCCTTGTCCCCTCCTACTCTATAGGGCCCTCGGAGGAAGCTCTGGGTTTCTGCCATGTGGGGTCTGAGGATTGCCAGAGCTGGAGCCCTCACAGCTCAGGAGAATACAGATCTTTCCACACAGGGTTAGCGTATTCTCACATCGAGTGGCTCATCAAGCTGCAGGGTGGTGCGTGCAGTGGATGAATTGCCAGGGCTTCCCGAAGGGAAGGGCGCGGGAGGCTGGTAGGGACCTGAGGGCTCTCGGGCGCCTCCTGGTGGTCAGAGGTGAGAAAAGCCACAGCCGTGGGCTCCCTGGTTGGCACTGGGCACCTTGGGATTGGGCCAGAGCCCTGTGGGTTTGGAGGCTGGACAGGACGGTCCCCGGGGATGCAGCAGCTAAGACCTTCTCAGGCTCGAGTGCCCCTAGTCTGAGGACAGCAGCCTACCTGGCCACTCCTGCATAGGGAACAAATGTCCTTCCAGCCTGAGTAAGGGTGCTGCCACCTGAGAGGCCCGAGCAGCCTTTCCCCACCTGGGGGTGCCCGACAGGCAGGGGGTCAGAGCAGGGGCCTCCTTTCTGCCCTGTGTGGAGGGGCTGCCCAGGGCTGGGTGAGACTGGGTGGGTGGACGTCCTGGGCTGCCCCAGGCACTGTGGCCCCTGAGCGTTCCTCTTTGCCCTTTGGGAGTCACTGTCTCAGCAAGAAGTGCCTGAACCTCCCAGTAGCCTCCCCACCACCACTGTTGTAGCCCCTCTGCCAATGGGAGTCCCAGGACTCTGGGAGCCCCCTGCAGCCTCCCATATGGCCTACCCCAGGGCTGTGGGGAACATCGTGGTTGCTTGTAAGGGTGAGCTCAAGGTTTTGGTTCAAGTGGGCCCCCTAGATCCCCATTCTGAGGTGCAGGGGATCCAAGCTTGGGCTGAGAGCCAACTCCCTCTGAAAGGCCAGGACTTGTGGGATGCAGACCTAGGGCCCATGACTTAGCTGTACCCCGGGGATGCCCACATGGTAGGGAGTCAGATCTGTGCACCCCTCCTGCAAACTGCTGCCTCTGTTTTGTAACACCCCCCCCCCACTGTAAACCTCCCCTCTGGGTGTAAACAATGTGCCCTGGTGCTGGTCGCCTCCTGCAGCCGGAGAACCTGCTCCTGGCCAGCAAGTGCAAGGGTGCTGCGGTGAAGCTGGCAGACTTTGGCCTGGCTATCGAGGTGCAGGGGGACCAGCAGGCATGGTTTGGTGAGTGCCTGAGGGTGGGGGGGATGCCCGCGGCCCCTCAGGGCCCCTCATAGCCCCTCATAGTCCCATCCCCTCTTGCTAGGGTTCGCAGGCACACCGGGCTACCTGTCCCCTGAGGTTCTTCGCAAAGAGGCCTATGGCAAGCCCGTGGACATCTGGGCATGTGGTGAGACCCGACGGGCCACTTGGCAGGGCCGCCTCCTTGGGCAAGGGTCTCCTTCCATTGGGGGGTGGGGGAGCAGCAGGGAGCTGGGCTCAGGCTGCCCGTGAGTGGTTGGGAGTGGGCAGGGGGCTGTTTGTGCCATCTGCCCACATGTCTGCTGCACCAGGGTGGGGGCACAGGAATGCTGAGGACCCCAGTGCTCTCGGGGGCCATGGGGTGCAGGGCATGGGCTGCATGGTAGGCAGCCTCCTGGTGTGGCTGCGGCCCTCATGGCCCCGTCCGCAGGGGTGATCCTGTACATCCTGCTGGTGGGGTACCCGCCCTTCTGGGACGAGGACCAGCATAAGCTGTATCAGCAGATTAAGGCTGGAGCCTATGACGTGAGTGCCCGGGACCCCGTTTGGACTGCCGCCCTCCCCAGGGCAGCCTGGGAAGAGACTGGGAGTGGGGAAGCCCTATGTGTGGCCAAGTGCTGGGTCCTGCTCTCCCAGATTCGTGGCAGGGGATGAAACCCCATGGGGAATTCCAGCCCCTGCCTAGGTGGGGGCTTCAGACCCAGCCTGGGTTGTTTCCTTCTGTAGTTCCCATCCCCTGAGTGGGACACTGTCACTCCTGAAGCCAAAAACCTCATCAACCAGATGTTGACCATCAACCCTGCCAAGCGCATCACGGCCCACGAGGCCCTGAAGCACCCGTGGGTCTGCGTAAGTCATTCTGGTGCCCTCTCGGGGGGCTCCTGGTGGAGGGGCCTGGGATCACTTCCTTGTTGAGGTCCCTGGGATGGCCTTGTGAAGATGGCATTGAAGGGTGGAGGAGGCCCCTTCCTCCTGACCACAGTCCTGCCTGTGAGGGGACAAGGCTTGAAGTCACAGGCAGGTGGGGACAGGTGGCCTCTCACCGTGGTGGTGGCTGTTGCTCTCAGCACATGGTGGGCCCTGAGGTGCTGCAAGCCCTGCTTCCCTGGGCCTCTCCCCTGACCCTCCGCTCCTTTGAGCCCCCTCAGAGGCACAGCTGATGCCCCGGCCCCTCTCCCCACAGCAACGTTCCACGGTGGCCTCCATGATGCACAGACAGGAGACAGTGGAGTGTCTGAAAAAGTTCAATGCCAGGAGGAAGCTCAAGGTAAGGCCCCAGCCCCAGCCCCTGGCACTCTGTATCCCTATGGCACCTGGTGCTGGAAGGGGTGGTCTGGAGGCTCGAGGCAGGCCCCACAGGAGAAGGAGGGGAGGTCTGAGCTGCCCTGGGACTGGCCTGTTTGTCGAGTAAACTCAGTCCCACCGTGGGAACTAGCCAAGGGTGCCCTGGGGCCACATGGAGGGGCCATCCTGAGGTGTGTCCTGCAGGCCCTACACCTGGGGCTCCTGCAGGCAGGACATGCCCTCTATCAGTCATGCTCTTTTTAGTGTGAGCGAATCCAGAAGCTTCTGGCCCAGAGCATGTTTGGTAAGGAGAGAAGAGCTGAGCTCTGGTCCTGGGTGGGCAGGGGGAGTTCAGGGAGGGAGGTGGGCACTAGCAGGCTGCCTGACCTGCTGCACTGGCAGGACTGGTGCTGATGGTCACTGTCGGGTACGAGTCAGCTGTCGCCCTAGGCTGCTGGGTGCTGAGGGTGAGGGTGTGGCCTGGACCTGGGGGCCCATTGCCCGACTGCCCTCCCCTGGTCTCTGAGCCGTTCTCCCCGAAGCCCCGAGGGCAGCCCCCACTGCTCTGGGCCTGTCATGGAAAGGAGGGGCAGTGGACGAGCCAGACCGCAGAGGAGCTGCTGTGGCGATTGGTGGTCCTGGTGATCCCTGAGGCTTGGGGTTCTTGAAGTACTTAGAAGCGGTGGTTGGTTGTCAGGTTGAGTGTCCAGGGCATGTTTTAATTCTGGAAACAGGTGATCTGTGTGTGCAGCTCTGGGTTCCCGGAGCGCTCACCTCTCTGGAAGTCTGTGATGAGTCCTGCCAGGCGCCCCTGGCGCTGAGCGTCTGAGTGGGTGGGTGGGAGGGGTCTTCTGGCCAGAAGCCAATGGGACGGTCCTGGCTTTGTCTCTCCCCAGGGGGCCATCCTCACCACCATGCTGGCCACACGGAATTTCTCAGGTGAGACACTCTTCTCCAGGGAGGACTCCCCTGCAGGACGGCGGCAGGAGGCTCCTCCTTTCTCGCCAGCCCTTTGGCCCCTCCACAGCCGCTGGCCCACGCTTGGCCTCGGTCCTCAGCTCTGAGACCCCTGCTGTCCACCTGGCCCGGCTGGTCTCCCTCATCGGGCAGCCCCGGCCCCTTTGTGTTGGGTCTGTGTCACCTTCCTTGACATCCCGAGTGTCTATGCGGCCCACTGCCCGGGCTACACGGCGTGTGTGTCTGTCCAGGCATTTGTCGGGCATCTCTGTGGCCTCTTCGTTGTTTTGAAAGCTCTGAGCACCGTGTTGTGTGCAGGAGGTGGGCGGAGGGTGTGGGCTGAGTCTGAGTCGGCACAGGGGGCTCTGGGGACCTCCCTGCTGAGTTCTGGATGAGAGGTCACTCAGGGTGGGTGGTGGGGGAGCAAGGTCTCCAGGGGTCTCTTAGAGACCCCTGAGACCCAGGTCGCTGGCAGGCCCACCTGGCACAGGGGTGGCATTAGTCCTAGAGTGGAGCTGGCGGCCCCAGCGCTCAGACAGCTGTGCTGTGGCTTCTCGTCGTCGACTCTCCGTGTGCGGGCGTCTGTGGTTGTCTTGTCCGTTCGCATCTGGCACCCCCATCCCCCCATCCTGTTACTTTGGCTGTGACGCTGCACCGCTGAGAAGGGCGCCAGTGGTCACACCAACTCTAATAGGACTGTCTGTCTGTGGCGTGCCTGCCACGCCACGGTGGCACAAGAAGCCCCCGCTGGGGTTTTCTAAGGAGAAAGGAGGCAAATGCTTTTCAATGTCAATCAGTCCAATCTTGTTTTCACTCTCCTGAGAAAAGGATTCTGGAACCATCCATCACCTAAACTTTAACTCTAATCTTCTTCTGCTTCCTTTGTCTCTTTTCTCCCCTGACCTCGCCTGCCCTCGTCTGTGTCCGCCTGCCTCCCCTTCCCCTCGTCTCTCCTGGTGCTAACAGTGGGCAGACAGACCACCGCTCCAGCCACAATGTCCACCGCGGCCTCCGGCACCACCATGGGGCTGGTGGAACAAGGTAGATGCGTCTTGACCAGTGTCACCCGCTCCCACCTGTCCCTCCCGTCGGCATGCAGCCCCCTGCTGCACACAGCCACTGGCCAGGCCTCCAGAGCCACCCCTGAGGCCACCAGGCCCCCGGGAGCCCCTGCTCCCGCCATGGTTACCTCCCAGCAGAGCACCCTGAAGGCAGGGGGAAGCCCCCAGTCTCCTCGCCTAAAAGAGGAGGCACTGGGCTAGGTGACCCGTGGGCCTCACGAAGACCCAGGTGCATTTGGCCGAGACCCCCTTGTCCTGGTCCCTGAGGTCTGGGGGTCTGGAGACCCCTGTTCAGAATGGCCTTGGCCTTGCTGGTAGTCTCTGGGCCTGCTGCTGGGGGGTTTGAATCCTGAAAGGGGGCTGTTGGGGAGCTGAGTCTGAGACGCTGCCCCAAGAGAGCCTGTGGGGCTCAGTCCCCTGTGTGCAGATGCCCTCGCCCCTCGGGACCTGCACGGAGCCGGTGGTCTGTGATGCTGAGGCCCACATATGCATGTCTGCCTATGAGTCCCCCAGGACAGGCTGCTCTGGAGCCAGAGGCTCAGGCCTCTGAAGTGACTTTGAAGCCAGCTCTTGGTTTCTTTCTACCAGGTCCTCCTCACCTAGCCCCACACTCCATGAGGGGAGAAGGCCAGTTCCATCCACCTGCCGCTCTGGGCTGGGTGGGGCCAGACCTCCCAGCTTGAGCCCAGAGGCCTTGCTGGCTCCCACCTGCCTGCCTGCCCGTGACCTTGGGCAGACCCCATGCGTGCTAATGACCTCAGGACCTCCTCTTGGGTTCCATAGCTGCAAACTGAGTTGAGGGCTGGTGTGAGTTTAGGGCAGGCAGGGCCAGCCACAGCTGGCTGCCGCTGTGCACACAGAGCCGACCTGGGGTCCTCCCAGAGCTGAGCCATATAAAGTTTCCTGTCGTGCTTCCAGCATCAGCTGGGGCCAAGGCAGGGCCAGGGTGTTGGTGATTCTTTCCTCTATCCTTCCTGCACACCCACCCCAGCTCCCACCTACAGCCCCTCAGGGTGAGCACCAGAACTTCCCAACCAGAGAACCCGCTTCCTGGGGGAGGCTCAGCCATCCTTCGCAGATGGCTCTTCTCCCACATAAGCCTAGCGCATGTGTCCGGCAGGAAGGACCCGAGCGTCTGAGGCTGCTGCATTTCACAGGCCTTTCTGGCACATGTGGTGGGCGGATGGGACTGGGGTCAGAGAAGGCTGAAGCTGGCTCGTGGGGAGGCCCTGCTGCCCAAGGACAGTGCGTGAGGCAGGCCGCACTGAGCCACTCTGCCTGGGCCCCCTGTGATCCTGCCTGCCTGCAAGTGAACGTGGGCGACCGTGCATGAGGCCATCTGCATGTGTGGCTCTGCCCTGGCACCGCAGGCCTCTCTGTCCTGGAAGGGGGTCAGTGCATGTGGACAGAGCCCAGCATGGCTGTCCAGCGTGACCAGCTGGGGTGAGGCAGAGGCGGGGCTGGGCTCTTCCATAGACGTGTGGCAGGGCTCTTCTCTATGGATGATGGCTGGGTCTGGTACCGTCCCGTCAGACCTCCCAGTGTGGCGTGGCACCCCTCCACCAGCAGGGAATCCCTTATCTGTAGAGCACGTTGTAGTTTTGCCTCTGTGGTCTTCCTGGCATCGAGCAATTGTGACACCCACAACTGTCAGGGTAGCTATGGGGTAGCATTTGCCTTGGCCTGAGGACATCTGGGGTGGGAGACAGAGGGTCTCTCCTTGTCCCCCTGAGGCCTGTGGAACCACCAGCCTAGGTGTCTGGGTTGCCTCTGGCTGCTTGGTCCACCTTTGGCTTCTGTTGCACCTAATAAATGTTTGCAAGTTGAGACAACACCGTGCCTCTGAGCACCAATGCAGACTGGAGTCGACAGGATTCTGGCCACAGGGAATCGAGCTAGTCCAGAGCAGAGGTGCGTGGCCAGAGCTATGTACTCCAGGATGGCCTGGTCCAAGAACCGCATGCAGATTCCAAGACGTGCATAGGCGTTGGTTTAAAAAAAGGAGCTCACAAGATGGGATGTTTGGGAATGGATTGAAATGACACGGGTGTGGGCTGCAGGGCTTCCCAGAGCCTGGATACCATGATGGCCCGTCCAAGTCCTCAGAGAGGGCTCCCACCCCTTGACTGTGAACTTCTGCCCTATTTCCCATGTTAACATTTCCAGTAGCACAGTTTGGAAATGTAGGTTGTGATAGACTCAGGGACGTAAATGGAACCCTCTAAGACTAAGGGCTGTCCCAAGGTCTCCACCAACCCTGCCTATGGTCTGACCCAGGCGCCTCCTTTCCTATGAGAATCATCTGAAGCTGGCGAAGGATGCTGACCTGGCCCCGGCAGGTCTCAGACCAGTATTGGCACTGGATCCCACTCAGAATACAGTTGGAATGCCACTGGATTGGCCAAGGCTGCCCGGCCTGTGGGTAGGCTCTGCCTGCAGAGGTGGGTTAAGCCCACCTTCCACAAACCACCCATTTAAATTGGCCACATCTTTGAAATGAGTGTTCCCAAAAAGGGATGGGGATCTTTTCCCTTTCCTGCTCAGGCCCCTGGGAGGAGCTGTCCTCCTGGCTGTGTCAGGAAGCTGGTCACCAGCAGGACAGGGTCCCCAAGCCACAGCCTCAGCCTCAGGAGCACTGTGCCCAGCTCTCACACCAGAACAGACAGGCAACCGAGGTGGCCGGCGCTGGCAGGTGCTTGTGGGGATGAGCTGTGTGTGCTGGAGATGGGGAAGAGAGGGGAGAGGTGGGGCCCACAGACAGGTAAGCTAGGGACCTGTCCCTCTGTAGTGAGTTAGAGGGGAGGCAGATTGTGGCTGCAGCAAGGGGGAGGTTTTTCACAGTCTGTGCTATAGGAAGGTGGAAGTCATTTCTGGTCCTGGAGCCCACCTTGCAGAGCTGCCCTGGGGCATCAGGGACCTGGTCCTACGTGCAGCCTCACCAGGGCCTTGAGCCTTGGGCAGGTGAAGCGCAAGGGGCAGGTTTGGGGACAGGAGGTTGACGCCTTAGCTCCAGAGAGGTCCTGAGAAGGACTCTTGGGCTCGATACAGAACTTTGGGAGAGTTAACAGATCCATGAGGGAGGGAGGCTGTAAACAGAAATTCTGTGCCCACTGCAGGGCCACACAGACTGCTCTGCAGGGTCCCAGGGCCACATGTAGCCCCTGGGAAGTCACAACCCTGCACTCCACATGCAAGGCATGGCAGGGACCAAGGAGGAAGCAGGGTGGGCATTGAGACAGGAGGGAGGTAGCCAGCCTGGGCACTACACTGCCAGCCTCAGCCCCCCGTCTGTGAAATGAACTAGGTGACCCGGAGCAACGAGCAAGCGTCAGAACCCCCCAGGGGCTTGTGGGACAGATGCCGGGACCCCCAGAGGGTTTGACTCAGGAGGGTTGGGTGGGCCTGAGGACTCGCGTTTCTGACTGTGCCGGGCAATGCTGCTGCTGGGGGGCCCATCTGAGACCCTCTGCAGCTCTAGGTCTGAGTGCGCCTGTCTGTCCAGTTTCTTGTCCCCGCCCACGCCTGTGTGGGCAGCATGGGTCCCCCTCCGAGCAGGCAGGAGCATCTGGCTTCGGGGCCTGGCTAGCCAGCCTCCTGGAGCCGGCGGGCTGGGAGCTGTGCTGCCTACCTTCCCTGCCTGGCCCGGGGTGAGGGATCCCCTCCCACGCTGTCCCCTGTCCCCTGGCACTGCAGCACAGCCCTGGCTGCTTCCCTCACCCGCTTTGCTCTTCTTGGCCAGGATGGCTGAGTCCCGGCCGAGTTGCACCCCCTGCCCAAACCAACACAAATCTCGTTTTCTCTCTCTCTTCCTTCCTCACCCCCTTCTCCTCCTCACCCTTTTCTGTAAGGTAAGCTCACTTCCTTTTTTATTTCTTTTCTTTTTTTAGTTCTGTAATTAAAATTTTAACTGCTGTAGATGCTGGGGGGCTGGGGCTGAGCCAAGCCAACCCCGACCGCCGAGGGGGAGTGCCTCAGGGACGGGGCCCATCTGCTAGGCCCGGGGTCCTCGGGTGCTTGTGGGCAAAGAGGCTGGTGTTGGCCCCAGCCAGTGCCCACCCCGAAGTGGCCCCAAGTCTCGTGCTGTTGGGGGCTCTTCAGGAGGAGGGAGAGCAAGGCCACCCGTCTGCCAAGGGATGGGTGAGGGCAAGGAGGGCGGGAGGCTGAGAGCGGCAGGGGCCTGGGCTGGGGACAGGGCCCTCTGTGGGAGCAGCCAGCTGCTTGGGAACATGGAGAAGTGTGGAGGGCGTGATCCTCTGAGGTGGCCCCGCTCAGCTGCCCACCGCCCCCAACCTGGCACCATCCTGTCCTTGTTCCTGTCATGGGAGGGGTCAGTGTCCTGCCTTCCTCTGCATATGGCCTGGAAGCAGAGGGCCACAGGGTCAGGAGGCTCTGCAGCACCCACGGGCGCCTCTGGGTCCCAAGTCAGAGGAGAGATCTCGGTGCCCTGCAGAAGCCTCAGGGTCATGGAGGACGGCTGGGGGAAGGGTCCTCGGGCAGTCCTGGCCCGGCCCCCACCGGATGGCCCAGGCTGCTGCTCCGCTCAGACCAGGCTGGGTACCAGAGCCACACCTGTCCGCGGACACTGGACCATGCATGGGGAAGGAGCTGAAGGGGGTGTGTGGGGGGCGTGCGCAGCCATGGCTGTGCTGTGACTCAACATGCCTCCTTCCCTCCCATGCAGCAGCCAAGAGTTTGCTCAACAAGAAAGCAGACGGAGTCAAGGTGAGGTGCCAGCTCGGCCCAGGGTGCCCAGAGCCTGCAGCTCTGCCCCCACCCCCAGGCTCTGAAGGCTCGGGGAAGGGGAGTGGTGGTCCCTGCCTAAGGGCTCCTCTTCCCTCTCTCCACAGCCCCAGACGAATAGCACCAAAAACAGTGCGGCAGTCACCAGCCCCAAAGGGACGCTTCCTCCTGCCGCCCTGGTACTGACCTCCTCAGCTCCTGCCTTTCGGGCCCTCCCTCACCTCCAATGGTGTGGCTGCCGCCCCAGAGGTGGCCGGGGTGAAGGTGGGATCTGGCCCCTACTGGCCTATCTCTGGCCCCTGGCCCTCACCCCTCACCGCATTGAGAATGGTGGAGTGGGGGGTTGGCCCCCCAGAGGAGAGGCTGCTGGGGGTGGGGTGCAGGCAGGGGTGGGGCTGCTCTAGGGAGCCCCTTGCTGGGGCCCAGAGATGTTGGGCCAAGAGGAGAGTTGTGGCCCCCACCTGCACCGACGTGGGCGTCTCCCCAGGAGAAGCTGCAGCGAGAGGCCTCGAGGAGGCTGGTGCGGCAGAGGACAGAGGGGGCTGCCTCGGCTTCCTGTACCCCCAGGAGTCCCCACCCTTGGCTCCTCCATCCCCTCAACAGGCTGACTCAGGCTGGGGCCTGGCTTGTAGGGGGCTGGCTGGCTCTGCAGGGAGAGCAGCCCCGAGTGGCATGTCCCATGTCCATGGGGAGACAGTGGCACAGAGGCAAGGTGTCTTAGGCCAGTAGCAGCCAGAGCTGGCTTCCCTCATGAGCCAGCGCACCCGTGCTGGTCTGTGGCTGCCCGAGAGGTTCGGCTGAGGGGCTCCCTGCTGGGAAGGGGTGGGGGTCTGCACGACACGTCCCTGCTGCTCCCTTCACTGCCCCTCGAGAGGGTGCCTGTCCAGCTCTGGCCCCCATGCCCCAGGGGGAGCTCCTGTCCAGGTGAACCCCACAGTGGGTGCTCCCAGGGATGCGGAGTTGCAGCCAGGGGACAGGGGCCTTCCTCCTGGGCACTGGGTGCATCTAAGCTGTCCAAAGGTTTGGGGTTTGCTGGCTGCAGGGTCCTCAGTTTGTTGGAAGCATGCTTGGTGTCTCCCCCCGGTTTTTGTGCCCCAGGCTGGGCTTCTGGGAGCCAGCCCCAGACTTGCCAAGTGGCCCCTGAGCCCAGGAGGGAAGAACCTTCCAGCGAGGGGGGAGCTGCTCAGAGCAGCTGGGCCGTGGCCTCAGCCAGCCCCGTCTCAGACCCTGTCCATCCCATGTGCCACCCACTCCATGACATCTTCAAACCTGTGCCCTGCGGCTGGGGCAGACGGTCCTGGCAGCAAAGGTGGGGGACTCCCCGAGGCAGAGGTGGCTGCTGCGGCCCCCACACACACCCGCAGCTGCGCACGGCCACGGCCCGCCGTCCATCCGGCACCTTCGCCAGCCCAGAGGTGGCGTGCGCTCCATTCCTGCTGGCCCGCCCCAGGCCCTGCCGCCAGCCTGCTCCGCGCCTCCATGCCTGTCCAGCTCTGCTCTGCACTCTCTCCTCTGTCTCCTCGCTCCCCTCCTGGCGGCCTCTGCTTCCTTCTCTTCTCACTGTCCCTCTCTTTCCTTCCTCTGTGTCTTCCTTCTTCTGTAGGAGCCTCAAACCACCGTTATCCATAACCCCGTGGACGGGATTAAGGTACTGCTGCCTCTTCCCTGTCACGCTTTCCTCAGGCAGGAGGCGCCGCCTGGACAGGGGTCTGGGACGTTGCCCCGGGGCAGCATGGTGCAGTGTCCCCGGCCACCCCTCCCCAGGGCTCCCACTCGGGAGCTGTGTCCGGCTGCCTCCCCCTCCGTCCCCTGGCGAGGCCCCAGCGCTTCCTGCTGAGTGGACCCTCCCCTGCTCCTCTCTGCTCTGCCATCTGCTCCCATCACATTGGCATCTTCACCCTGGGGCCCGGGAAGGGGCTGGCTCTCGGGTGCGGGAGGGACGGGGCTGCGGCTGAGTCCTTTGCGGGACAGTACCACACGCCCACACACAGCTCCCCCGCCAGACTCCACCTGTGCCCGGGCTCCTCACAGAGCCCCCACAGTGCCTCTGTGGGGCCCCCACTTCCTCCTGGCCAGCACCACCCCAGCCCACCATCAGAAGACCTCTTTCTCCATGGCAGGAACCCACGGGCCACAGGGCACCCAAGGGCCAAGACAGCCAAGAGCTTGGGCATCCTCCCTGCCTGGCAGTGGGGGATGGGTGTCCCTTGGACCCTGTGCGTGTCTGGGGTTGGGTCATGTTTTTCCTGTGAGGGGCCCCTCAACAATCTTCTGGGCTGTGGTGAGCCCTGACCCTACGCCTGAATTCCCCCAGTTCTGGTCTAGGGCCCAGAGCAGTGTCGCCAGTCAGTGTCCAGACCTGAGGGAGAGGGTGGTGCCTCGGGAACCTTTTGAGATGTTTTTTCTGAGGAGCAGAACAGACTCCCTGGGGACTTGGTAACAGGTGGATGGTCTTTATAGGAAGGGCGGCAGCAATCTGAGCAGGGTGGGAGTGCTGGGGCACTTTCACCCTCTAAGGCTGCCTGGGAGGTGAAACTGGGGCCTGGCTGGACGGTTTAGGCCTGGGCGGGGTAGGTGACCCAGGAGGGTCTCATCTCTTCTGGGGCAGGGGATGTGGGTGGCAAGTGTGCTCTGCCTGGGGAGAGGCCCAGGTTCCTGGAGCCCTGTGAGGACCTGCACATTTATTAGAAGCTTCTCAGCCTGTTCGCAGACGCACGGGCCTCTGGGCTTCTGCTTCACCAGGAGTCAGCCAAATCCTGTTGTGTCTTAAGTCCTACAATTTCAAAAAGCCAGATTTCCTCTCTCGTTAAGGGGAGTCAGCTAAGCATGCCAGAGTCTTTCTTCAGGGCTTGTCTTGTTGGGAGAAAGTGAAGTCGAGGCCTGGCGATTGGGGACGTCAGGGGGCAGGGAAGGCCTCGACTCAGGAGTCCTCACCCCAACCTTGTGAATGGGCCCCTCCTGGGGACCGGCTCAGAACTGGGCGCCTTCTCCTCTGGTTGGGCTGCCTGAGGATTTTTAGGGCTGGGGCTCTGCAGCTAAGAGAGAGCCTGTCCCCTGAACCCTTAGCCTCTAGGTTCTGTCAAAGCGGCCGGGGCAGAGGCCCATCCCGGAGCCTGGGCTGATCCCAGTGCAGGCCTGCCCTGTCCGCCTGTCCTCAGCCATGTCCCAACCCGCTGCCTTCCTGTGTTTCCTCAGGAGTCTTCCGACAGCACCAACACCACCATAGAGGACGAAGACGCTAAAGGTACGTGCACTCAGCTATGGCTGTGCTGGGCTGCTCTGGAGGCGGATGGGCTTCAGTGGGTGCGATGTCCTGTGACGTGGGCTCAGGGTCCCAGCGACTACAGTCTCGCCCTGGGCCTGGGTGTCAGGGTCTGTGTGGCTGAGACAACTGGCGGCTGAGCAACGTCCAGGTGGTTCTTCGCACCAGGACCCTCACTCACTCCGGGTGACCATGAGCTCTGTCCCCACAGGCAGCGAGTTAGTGGGTAGAATTTGCTCAAAGGTGACGTCGTTCTTCAAGCTCCCTAAGCTTACGATTCTGTCCAGCGTGCATCTGCTGAGCGGCCGGGCAGCTGAGTGGTGTTTCCCTGTTTGCCTTTGCTGACTCAGCCCCTCCTCCTGCGTGCGCTTCTGGGCCACACCCTGACCTCCGCAGCCCCCTCCCTACGCTGAGCCAGGCCACTGGTCTTTCATATACCTCAGAAGGACCCCAGGGCACCCGGCATTGGGGCATGCTCCTCCAGGAAGGGGTCTAACACCTCCAGGTGGTCCACGTGGGGCCTCCTGACCCTCACACCTGCTCCTCCAGGAAGGGGTCTAACACCTCCAGGTGGTCCACGTGGGGCCTCCTGACCCTCACTGTCATGCCGTCACGTAGATAAGCCCTGAGCTGCCCTCAGGGCTTCCCAGGGGTCCGACGGGGAGAGAACAGGCCACTCCTGCCCTTCCCTCCTCCTGCCTCTGTCTGCCTCGTGTTCACATCTGTCTGTTCCACCCCAGCCCCCAGCATCTCTGACATCCTGAACTCGGTGAGAAGGGGCTCGGGGACCCCAGAAGCCGAGGGCCCCTTGTCAGCGGGGCCCACGCCCTGCCTGTCTCCAGCTCTCCTAGGCCCCCCGCCCACCCCGTGTAAGTAGAGGCCCCCAGGCCTGCTGCCTCTTCTGCTGAGGGCTCACTGCGAATGGCCGGCGCTCAGTGGCTTCCTGCACCTGCGCCTGCCCTGCACGCCCAGCTCCCCCAGGCCGGGCCTGGCTGGGCTTCGGCCGGGCACATGCGCTGACTTGGTGGGGCAGCTATCTGGCTTCTCCCTCCAGGGGCCCACCTCCCACCCCCTACCCCCCACTTGCCACCTAGCTGTCCAGCTCCAGGTCTCTCTCCCAGAAGGTCTGTTCCACACCTGGGCAGCCCATCTGGCCCCTCTGCAGCCCCCCAGGCCCCCAGGTCTTCTCTGCTGAGATGCTTTTCCAGCCTGGCTGTTGTGTGCCCTGCTCTCCAGGCTGCCCCTTGTTCCTAATGTAACCCCAAACCCTGAGCACCCTTCCTCAGTCTGAGGGGTGCCCAGGAAGGTGCCAGAACTGGAACCCCAGCCAGGTCCCCAGGAGCTCATGCAGAAGCAGATACTATGGAGAAGAGAAGGCCTGACCTTCCATTGACCGGGGGCTGTCCACATGGGGCCAGACCATTCTTCCTGTTCTTCTTTTTTCCACCCATCCAGCACTTCCCAGGAGCTGGCACCTGTTGGCTTCTTGTAGGTCAGGCTGCCTCTCCTGGGAGGGTTCCCTCTGCCCTCAGCGGCTTCCACCCCACACGGATGGACAGAAGCATCTACCAGTCATTCCTGCAGCCCCTTCACATGTTCCTCTCCATCTCCCCTTGTCCCCTCCATACCCCCATGCTCCCCTGTGTCCCCCACTCTCTGGCTTGGCTGTCAGTCCATAGGTCTCCCTCCTGCATGCCCCCAACCCTCCTGCCTCATGTTCATGTCTGTCTGTTCCACCCTAGCCCCCAGGATCTCTGACATCCTGAACTCGGTGAGGAGGGGCTCAGGGACCCCAGAACCAGAGGGTCCCCTTCCAGTGGGGCCCCTGCACTGCCCATCTCCGACTCTCCCTGGCCCCCTGCCCACCCCGTGTAAGTAGCACCTTGAGTGGCCTGGTGGCTGCTCGGAGGGGCTCACGGTGCGAGAGACCCCAGCCTTGGCACACACCAACTGTGCTCTAGGAAGGGCCAGAGTGTGGGGGAGGGTCGGGGCATGGGGTCCCTCTGCTGGGTCATAGGGAATTGCATCCAAGCACATGAAGATGCCATCTGGTTTCAGAAAACGGAGATGTGGTCAGGAAGTGTGTGTGTGTGTGTGTGGACAGCTGTGTGTAGGAAGAGCTGACCTGGAACCCTTGCTGCACGGTGGTCAGAGGTTGGAGCTTGCTTCTGATGCAGGGGGCGTGAGTGGCCTCAAGATGAGGCAGCCCCTGCAGCTTCGGGGTGGAGGGTCCACTCACCGGCTGGGCCTTGTACACCGTGCGGTGCCGGCTTGGGTCGGGGGTGGACCTGCCTGGACAGTGATGGCATGGAGAAGAAACACCATCCCTGGCTTGGGAAGTTCTGGCCTTGGGGCTGCCTGAGTCTGGACATTAGGGAGCAGGCTGGGGACGGTGGGAGGTGTGGACTTGGGGGGCAGCCATGGGCACGGCCGAACACGAGAGTGGGAGGGAGAGGCTGGCGCGGGCTGGGCACCTCCCCAGGCAGGGAGGAGCCGTGCGGCCGCCTCCCCAAGCTGTCTGCCGACTGCTGGCCAGTATCGCTTACACGGATGGATGACATCCCAGGGCTGCAGCCACTGCCGCCCCCACCTCCAGGGAGATACCGGGCTGGGGGTGGTACTGAGACACTCTCAGAGAAGAGGCTGCTGGGCCAGGGGCTTGGCATGGCAGGGCAGTGGCTGGGTGAGTACCCAAGTGCCAGATGTGGCCACGGGCCACCCCCCATCCCCTCTGCAGGTCAGGCCTGGGGGGTGCGGCTGCAGGTGGCCAGAGGGGAGGGGGAGAGCAAAGCCACAGGAGCAGCGGCCCAAGAGGTGGAAGTGCACAGCCTGCAGGCTCAAAGGGCACCGGGTCCACCCTGGGTGACATGGGAGGGCATGGGGCAGCCTCTGCAGGGGCACGAACCCCCTAGAGCATTCTGTGGTTGGCTGAGGACCCCAGCAGGGATTGGTTGAGAGGATCTGAGGTGCGTGGCTGGGGTGAGAGACCAGGTTCTTGCTGGTAGGGGGAGGTAGGGGGCACTCAGAGCTCACAGAGGGAGGCAGGGAAGGGACATGGTGCAGCTGTGGCAGGCGCACAGTGGGGCTTCTGGGAGTGGCCAGAACCACCACTGTCCCATTTCTGCAGTATCTTGTCTGATTTTAAGGGGCCTTGCTGCCCTTGCGGAAGTGGAGGGTACGCCCAAGGGGACTGGCCTAGAATGTGACCCCCTCAGGTCCACATGAGCCATCCCAGGGCTGCAACCTGCCCTCAGAGTCTGTGCTGTAGCCTGGGGGTGGGTGCTGTAAGGACAAGGTCCACAGTGGGTGCCCAGTAGCCAGGTGAGATGTTAGCACTCCAGGCTACTTTCAGGGGCCCCACAGGGTCTTCCTGAGCTTGGCTGGGGGATGAGGGGGCACCTCAGAAGGGGGCTGAGAGCAGGAGGGGCCAGACAGGGCTGGGCAGAGGTGTGGACAGGACATTCCCTGGAATTTGGGCAGGGAAGGCACACAGGTGCCCTGCCCTGTTGGCACCAGGGCCTGGGTGGCACATCCTGCAGGTGGGTTGCGGGTCCCCTCCTTTCTCAGGAATCTGCGCACCAGCTGTCTTAGTGTGTAAATGGGGCAGGTGCCTCCTGGCCCACCTCAGGCCCAGGCTGCTCCCCACCCCAGTGTTCCCTAATCGGGGATTATGCCCAATCCAGGCTGATCCCTGAGCAGCTGCCCTGCCTCCTGCAGCCACCGCTGGCTCTGAGGGTTGGGCTTGGGGCCAACCTGGGGACACAGGAGCCCAGGCCAGGGTCAGAACCTATTCTATCTCCACCTAGACACTTTTGGTCCTGGGCTCGATGGCTGGCCCTGAGAGGAGGCAGAGAAGAACCTATTCTATCTCCACCTAGACACTTTTGGTCCTGGGCTCGATGGCTGGCCCTGAGAGAGAGGAGGCAGAGGTAGCAGTCGGCCTCTGGGTGCCTGGCAGGCCTGACTTGGCCCTGCGGCTCTTGGCAGTGGCAGACCCCTGCCTACCACCTCAGCTTTGTCCCTGGAATTGCTGGGGGCGGGGGAGCAGGGGCAGCTTGTCCTCACTAACAGGCTTCACTGCCTGGGTCATCCTTTCCTGCTGGGCCGCTCTTCCCTCCTTATGTGGCCTGTTGGCAGTGGCAGACCCCTGCCTACCACCTCAGCTTTGTCCCTGGAATTGCTGGGGGCGGGGAGCAGGGGCAGCTTGTCCTCACTAACAGGCTTCACTGCCTGGGTCATCCCTTCCTGCTGGGCCGCTCTTCCCTCCTTATGTGGCCTGTCCTTCTCCAGGGGCCTATATATTGAGGACACAGAAGTGCCATGTGCTATTTGGGGAGACATAGTGGAGATTTGGTCTTGCCGAGGTCGTCTTGCCAGGGTCACCCCACAGTCAGGAGGTATCCAGGACCGCTTACAGCAGACTTGGCCCCCTTTCTGCACAGTAGTAGGTGGGCGGCTCTCATATTGGACCCTGTTTCCCAAACTTCAGGCACAGTTACCACTTTTGATTGGTGCTGTGACCACGTAGTTCCTCCTTTTCTGTTTACTTAACACTTTCTCTTTATGCGGACTCCCATTTTTAGGAACAATTTGTTTACAAACACTCCATATTACTTTGTTAAATGAAGGTTAGTTTCACTTGGCACAAGTACAAGGTGGCTGTAGAATCAGAGTATGCTGGAAACACAACGAGCAAAGCAACGTCTCAGTTCCAGCTGCATTCCCCTGTGCGCCGGGGGGAGGGGGAGCTCTCACAGGAGGTTAGAAAAGGGAATTAACAAGCATCAGGGGTATTTGGGACATGTGGACACCACAGACTTCTCCCTTGACATGGTTAGAGCAGAACTGGATGGTCCTGTGGTCCCAGGGGAGAGAGGGCAGAGAGGAGGGAGGGATGTCACAGCTGGGGTGGGCCCTGCACTGGGGCTGCTGCATGTGCTGGGACAGAGCCCTGGTGCCCTCCTGGAGCTGGGCAGGTGGACGTGGGGCTTGGAGCAGGACTCATGGTGGCCTTAGCAGGAACTGCATGGGAAGGGGCTTCTAGAGCCTGCAACCCACCTTCCTAGTGGCCAGCTTTCCAGGGTCAACCAGGTGGGTGGGGATTGGGCTTCAGCAGCAAGACTGCCCTGAGCAAAGATGCTGACAAGGTCAGGCAAGAAACAGAAACAGGAGGATAGCAGCAGTACAGCTGGTCAGGAGAGAGGCCTTTCAAGATGGGGCAGCTCACCAGCGCACATGTGCACACACGTGCAAACACATGTGTGTTGAGTGGGGTGCCCACACACCAACTCAACACACACACACAGCATATGGGCAGGTGCACATGCAGGCACACACATGCACATGCGTGTGTGCACATGTATGCACTTCGTGTGCATGGTCACACACTTGTGTGCACAAGCACACGTGTGCATGTGCTCACATGTGCAGGCACATGAGTGCACTCAGCTCCTCAGAGGTGCCATCGAGCTCCTCCTGCTGCCACTGTGCAGCAGGGGCTGTGGTGTCCCAGAGTGGGTGCAGCACACGTGTTCCTGGGCAGACATGGGTGCCCCTCACACCCAGCACACACATGGGCACGCCTGGGCTCCCACGCAGCACGCAGTTCTCCTGCCTTGTACTCAATCCACATTCCAGGTGGGCGGCTGGGTGGGGTGAGTATCCAGAGGGCCTGGAGGTGCTGGTGGGAGAGTGAGGGGTGGCCCCACCACCACTGGGCCACTTCAGAATGAAGTGTACATGCTTGAGGGCCAGCAGTGCCTCCCAGGGGAATTTGCTCACGTGGGGCCCTCCACGGCGACACTCACCGCTGGAGGGTGGAAGCCGCACACGTGCCACTGCCAGGGCCTCGGTGTAAAGACGGCGTGTACGCAGGAGGACACACAGCCTTCGCGGTGCGGGCGGGCCAGGTACCGCCTTAGCAGTCTGGGGCCACCCAGGGGCTGGGCCGGGGTGCACAGAGACACGCGTGGGGAGAGCTCTGGGAAACCTGCCTCCACTGCACTTCTGGGGGCCTGAGTTTTTACCCCGGGTGAGTTACTGCTTTAAAAAATCACAATGATAGCTATGTGTGGGGCGAGCCTGTGTGCGTGTGCATGTGTGTGCATAGGTCTGCACGGAAATGGTTAAGTGCCCCCCTCGGGACAGGACTACTCAGGACAGGACTCCTCAGGAGAGTGAGTGAAGCACAGGACTGAGGAGGCATCTTTGACTGTATCTACGATGTTTCTTTCAAAAATGTCTAAGGGAATAGGAAAGGCTTTGAGATGTGAGTCAGCAGAGTGGGGGTTATACTGTTCTCTCTGCTTCTTCCATATATTTAAAATATTTTACAATGAAAATAAATGGTAATAGAAACAGACAAGGGGCCACCGGAGAGCACCTAGGCTTCTGGAGGAGCATGGGGCGTGGTGGTTGCAGGACGGCAGGCGTGGAGTGGCGGGCACGGCTTCCAGCGAGCAAAGGGACCCTCCACACTTGCTCTTCCTGCTGCCTGGGAACCCACCCCGCCCACCTTCTTGCCCCTCAGCCTTTGCTCCCGGGGACCCTGCAGCCCACAACCTGTGCCTGCCGCCCCCGCCTGCTGCCACTTCTCCTCAACCTCCATGTGGACCCTGGCGTGGCCCTTAGTAACCCCCAGAGGTGCTGGGTGAAGAAAGCGCTAAGCAGAGCACAGTGCAGGATGGAGCCAGGCAGGTGGCAGATCAGCCTGTCCAAGCTCAGGGAAGCTGGGGCAGGCCTGGTGGACTCAGCCCACATGGGGACAGGTGGTGACCGTGGGGCAGACACAGCCTCACGGGGGCAGGAAAATGACTGTAGGGTGCACACAGCTCATGTAGCAGCAGGAGGGTGACCATGGGACAGAGCTCACATGGTGGCAGCAGGGTAACCATGGGATGCCCATAGCTCATGTGGTGGCAGGAAAGTGATTGTGGGGTGCACACAGCTAATGTGGTGGCAGGAGGGTGACTGGGTAGACACAGCCATGTGGTGGCAGGAGGGTGACCATGGGGTGGACACAGCCACGTGGGGGCAGGTGGGTGACCATGGGATAGACACAGCCATGTGGGGGCAGGAGGGTGACTGTGGGGTAGGTAGGTGGCAGCTTGTTCTCCTTTCTGCATTTTCCAACATTTTATAATGTGGATGGAGTATTTCTGTCATTTGAAAACGTTTTATTTAAGAAAAACTAGAAGCTGTTGCACTTGGACATGAGGAGGCCATTGGTGACCATGGAGGGGATGGCCTGAGCAGATGGTTTGGGTGAGAGGTCCACGGGGTTGTCTGGAGAGGAGAGGCTGGACCCAGGTGGGCGCTGCTGCGTGGATGTCGCCCACAGCTTGTGCTCCAGGCCCCTACCTGGGCTTTGTTGGGGGGCATCCAAGGGGGGCCCAGCCAGTACCCAGTGGTCACAGGCCGGCGCGTCTCCCTGCAGCCCGGAAGCAGGAGATCATCAAGACCACGGAGCAGCTCATTGAGGCAGTCAACAACGGCGACTTTGAGGCCTACGCGTGAGTCCCCTGGGGGCCAGGGGGCTGTGGGAAACTAGGATGCAGACCTTGTGGGGGCCCTGCTCCAAATCAGGGCTCCACAGGGTCCCTCTCACCTGGATTTGCCCCCCAGGAAAATCTGCGACCCAGGCCTGACCTCATTTGAGCCTGAAGCTCTGGGCAACCTGGTGGAAGGGATGGACTTCCACAGGTTCTACTTCGAGAACCGTGAGTGAGAGAGCCGGGCGTGTGCACGAGGGGGCGGCACCCTGCAGGACCCCCTCAGCCCCTCCCAGGCAGGGCAGCGGCCCCCCAGGAGTGCCATCCTCTGTGTGCCCAGGGTTGGCCAGGCCCCTGCTTGCTCCTTCTGCGGCAGTTCTTCCAGGACAGACCAGCCCCAGTCACACTGTTAAAGGGTCCCATGCCACTCCAAGAGAGCCAAGCCCTCCCACGGCGGGGAGGCAAGACTGGGGGTGGGGCTTAGGCTGGTGGGACGGTCACACTGGGTGGCCGTGGTGCCCGAGCCCTGTCCCTGCCCACCGTCTACAGTGCTGGCCAAGAACAGCAAGCCAATCCACACGACCATCCTGAACCCCCACGTGCACGTCATCGGCGAGGACGCGGCCTGCATCGCCTACATCCGGCTCACACAGTACATTGACGGGCAGGGCCGGCCCCGCACCAGCCAGTCCGAAGAGACCCGCGTGTGGCACCGCCGTGACGGCAAGTGGCAGAATGTGCACTTCCACTGCTCGGGTGCACCCGTGGCCCCGCTGCAGTGAAGGTGAGTGCTCCTCGCCAGGATGCGGTAAAAGTGGCTGCGGCCCCGGGGGCGACAGGGAGAGCCTGAGCTCTGCAGGCAAGGCCACAGGCATGAAGTCATTAGGGACGATGGCAAGCGGGCCATGGCCGGCATCCCCAGAGGATTGGGGAGCTGACCAGAGCTTGTTGGGTCACGGGTGCAGGTGGGTCCTGGCTCCCTGCCCATTTGTCAGGACTATTAGGACTGAGACAGGGGTACCCCAGCAGCGGGTGTGGTAGGGCCAAAGCCCGGTTTTACGGGATGGTAGTAATTGGGTCCAGCGCCTCCAGCGCCTCCCCTGAGTCCCTCTCCTTTTTGTGGGCGTTAACTTTCCCCTCCTTCCGGGTGCCGGCAGTTTGCACACAGCAAAACCCAGGGTCAGATGGGGAGAGGGCTGCTGAGGAAAGTGACCTGCCCGCCCTGTTTCAGAGCTGCGGCCTGGTTTCATGGATGGAGTTGGCGTTTGGAGCCCGGTCGCCCTGGGGCGCACGGCCCACCTGTCGCATGTTTGTGTCTGCCTCGTCCCCTCCCCTGGTGCCTGTGTCTGCAGAAAAACAAGACCAGATGTGATTTGTTTTTAAAAACAAGATGACGACGACAACCACAAAAAAAATTGACATCGGATGAAATGGAAAAAAAAAAAAAAAACTAAAGAAAGGAAAAAGCTATAAAAATCATTGGCATTTGTGGGGCCGCCCCACCCAAGCTCCACGTGTGTCCGTCTACACTCCCAGCCTCAGGGGCCCAGCTGGGGCATGATGGTGTCCTCCAGGCCTGTCCTGCGTGCTGGGCGGTGTTAGTTTGTAGGTAACGCACACCCCAACCTCAGGCGTCTGCATCTTCCCGCCAACGCATGGGCTCCATGTGGTGCGCTCGCCGTGGCTGTCGTGACATCAGGTGTCTTGGGAGGACTCTGGGGCTGTCGGGCTGCCTCCCCTCCTGCTAGCCGTGCCTGAGCGTTGCTGTTGTTCCTGCTTCCTCCTTCCTTCCATCCCCGTGAAGGGCTGGGTGTGGGCTCCCCCACTCCCAATGTCCCCGTGCACCCCACAGAGATGGCCTGCAGCAGAGCCCAGGCCAGCCCCTCGCCTCGGCCGGAGGAGATGGGGGCACTGCCCCTCAGGCCGTCAGAGAAGCCCATGGGCTCAGGCCTCCAGCTCTGGTCTTTCTGGGGGAGCAAGGTGCAGAGAGGGTCATGCCTGGCAGGAGACGGCTGAGGACGCCGTGGCTGCAGCTCTGACACAACCACCATGGAGGGGGACTGGCCTCCCTGCTATTGGAGGCTCCTGTCCCTTCTCTGCTGGCCAGTGGCAGATGTGGCAGCTCCAAACCCTGTTTTTCCCCCACCTCCACCCGGCAGCCCTCCCCTTGGCCTGTATGGCCTCTCCCCATGCAGCTGGGAGCAGACTTCACAAAAGACTGTGGGCCCCGAGTCCCTAAGTCCCCACTGAAGCTGAGGGAAGTTTGCCTGCTGCTGGAGTTCAGGGAAGCGGGGGCTCGGGGCTTGGTCAGGTGATGCAGCAAGTGCCAGAGAGGGGTCAGAGGTGGTGGCTGCCGGGCTCCTGGGCTGAGGTGGGGGTACTGGCAGGTGTTTGCTGAGGAAAAGTGCTTTGGAGTCTGGGCCTAGAGCGAGAGCCACAGTGGAGTCTGCCCCACGGGGCCATGGGGGCGTGGGGAGACAGGGCTGCCCGAGCTCGCCCAAGCCCACTCCCCGCCCTAGGTCTTGGCGGGGCTACAGTGTATGATGGTGCCTTCCAGGTGGCCCAGGGGCACAGCTGAGGAGGGAAGGCAGGCTGGGGGCCCAGGACACCAGAGGATGGAAGGAAGGTCCTGCGGGGACAGTGGTGCTGCCTCTAGGCGCTGGCCTCAGGCTCCCACAGTTGAGGGTGCCGTCAGGAGCCTTGACTGCAGAGGCTGGGGGCTCCCAGCCTGAGGCCTGCCCACCTTCAATTCATGTTGTTTTCAATAAGGATTTTCTTTATCTTCCCCCAAAAATCAAGCCAAGGGAGGGGCAGGGAGTGGAGAGCAGGACACAGGATCCTAAACTCTGAGGGGACTGTCCACCAATGGACACTCAGAGTGGACGCTACCTTCCGTCCACACCGTGCCCAGGACAGCTGTCCCCACCCATGGACACAGGGTAACATCGCCAGGCTCTGTGCCATGGACAGCGTGCAGCCTGCGGTGGCCACCCTGGCGTCCTGGGCCTCCTCCCGCCTCTTCTGCTCACCTTGTTATCTCCACGGAGCTGCCTATCTGGGATAATTTGGGAATTTTTTTTCTGGGGGATAATTCTTTTGCATGACCCCTCAAGAGTAAGCCACGCCCACTCTGCTAGCTAGGTGTACGCAGTGTGGTGGCATCCGCCACCTGGCCAGCACCACAGGGCGTCGGCTGCCCACAGTGCTGGCCGGCCTTCCCTCTTCTCTCTTTTTGCTGAGTTTCATTGTCTTTTCTTTCTGAGCCTTGTAAGTGTACAAAAATTATTATTTTGTTCTGTCTCGGGAAACTGCAAATAAAAGAAAAACAGGACAAACTGCTCCAGGCGCAGCTGGGTGCTTTATGCTGGGACCCTGCCTACCCTCTGCCTCACAGTGCACCCCCAAGCCAGTCTCTGGCCCAGGCCTGGCTTGGGCCCCTTCTCTGACACGGGGGTTAGGGGGTATGGAGGCCTGAGCTGGTCAGATGTTCCTGATCCCCTCTAGGGTGGACACCCCAGCCCCAACCTCCCTGACCTCTTCATTCACCCTAGTGGCCTCTAAAGATGAAGCCAGGAGGGGCAGCCTCTAGGCAGGAAAGAGCCCCAGGACTAAGGCCCCCAGCTGTCCTGTTGAGCCTCTCACTTCACCCCCTGCCCCATTTGACACGGCACTGCTTCCATGGGTTATGCACTCGGTACACAGGCCAGCTCGGACGTCAGACATGGATGTCAGATGCAGCTGCGATGCAAAGATGACATGGCAGGCAGCTGTCATGGGGGTTGGGAGGCTCCACAGGACCTGGAGCACAGGGCAGAGATCTGGGTGCAGCAGAGGGACTCAGGCACCTGGGAGCGAGCCAAGGGCCCAGGTCAGCAAGGCCAGGTGCTAGGGGCCTGTAGGTCAGGGCCAGCATGGGGATTCGTCCTGAATGGAAGGGGACGGGCTACCTCCCAGGCCTCTCCTGTCCTTGGGCTCTGCTGGCTCCTCTGCAGCCTCAATGCCCTCCTCCTCCCAGACACCATGGGCGGACCCTGTTGGTCCCCTCCCCGTGCACCTTCACATTTCCATGGCAACCTCGCCCCACCTCTTTCCATACCTTGTCCCAGGCCTCACGCTTTTCTGGGGCAGAAGCGTGAGCTTCAAAACAATCCCAGACACTGGACACCCCACCTCCACCCATGGGCCTAAGTAACTTCTGATACAGCAGGTGCCCTACACCCTGTCAGTCATGTCTGCTGGGAGCAGGGGAGCCTGAAGGATCAGCCTCCTCTGTCCTGAGTATCTGGTTACAGACATCTTTGTTCAGGGAGGAGGGCCCTTGATGTCAGCTTCTCACTCCCCATGGGCTGTACCTGGCCAGGTGTTCTCTGGTGTGGGCGGGCGGATGTTGGATCCCAAGAGCCGGTGCAAAGATCTAGGCCAGTGATGTCAGCTTCTCACTCCCCATGGGCTGTACCTGGCCAGGTGTTCTCTGGTGTGGGCGGGAGGATGTTGGATCCCAAGAGCCGGTGCAAAGATCTAGGCCAGCCCCAGAAGCGCGCAGTGTCTGTCCCGGAGCATGGTATCTAGGGCTCCGCTTGCCTATCAGCTGTAATTGGAGGAGTCTTTCCAGGCCAGGCCTCCCTCAGGAAGCGGTGTGCTCTGCAGTCCCCTGCCCTCGCGCATGCATTATTCCTGAGGCCTTTCTGCGGAGGCTATCAGAGCACAGCACATGGGGCTGCACCACCCTGTGTGGGGCCCAGCACTCCTCACTTTTAAATAGCATGTTGGGCAAAGTTCCCTGGGCCACGTGTCACCCCAAGAAGGCTTAAGTTAAATCCCCGAGTGCCTCTGAGCAGGAAAAGCCAGTGCACTCGGTCCAAGGCTGCTTCCAGGGCCACGCAGAGAGGTCACAAGCACAGGCTGAAAGCCGGTGCTGGGCCTGCCTGCTGGGAGAGACCATGAAACAGGCTGCAGAGGAATAGGCCTGAAAGGACCAGCCATCGAGGCCATTCTCTAAATTCAAGACCGGATTTGGACTCGAGTCTGACATGCCTTGGATCACTTCCCAACTTGCAGGGGTCTGCTCTGTTCCTCCAGGGGACAGATTGTCATCATGTGCCCTACAAAGCCCCCTCCACTCCCAAAACACTTCCGCCTGTGCTTGGTGGGAATCCAGGTGGTCTCACACTGACCCCAGGGTCATAGGTGAGGAATGGGAAGCCCACACTGGCTCAGGGCCTCCTCCCCTGGCTCTGCAGCTATGAGGCAGCAGCTTTCCCAGGTTCCAGCTAAGACATGAGAACAAGATTCACAGACAAGGCTGCTTCTACTCCAGGGCTCCCTCATGTGTTTAACAGAAAAAAGAAAATAGGGTTCTGCTAGAAAGGTCTAGAGAAAGGAGTTTGTGTTGGGCCTAGAGCTGCCACTCCTGGACAAGACCCACCCAGGATAACTTGGACCATCACCCTCTCCCCAGGGGCAGGGTATGGCGAGAAAGGATCCCCCTGAAGCTCAAATAAAACACAGGACCACTTTGCAATTCCAAAAGACAACTTTATCCCAACAGAGACCTCTCAAACAGAACACCGAGAAGTTAGGCAGTAGTTATATAAAAAACACACTCTTGCCAAATGATTTAACGTTAGCATACTACAGGGTGCAGGGAAAAGCAGGCGGGCCCTGTGTCGTCACTGTGCTGAGTCAGACCCGCCTACCCCGGCTGCCCTGCTCAGCCAGACCCAGGCCCAGCCCCTTGAAGGGCAGCCAGAGGTGGCTGAATGTCTCACTTCCTCTTCTCCCCAATTCACTACCCACCCCAACATCCCTCCCCAGCATCCTCCACATGGGGACAAGGAAAGAGGCAATGTCCAATGGCTCTTTCTCCCTCCCTCAGGATCCAGGCCCACCTCACTACTCCTCAGGCACCAGTCAGCAGGCTGGGTCTGTGCCTTCCAAGGGGCACTGGCTGGGGGTGTCCATAGTGGTAGGACCACCACACAGCAGGGGGAGGCCAAAGCTCTTTGGCCAGCACGGTGCCTAGAGAAAAAGGGCAGTGGCAGGTAAAGAGGCCCCACCCTCTTGCCTTGCCCACCCCTCCCCAAACTGGGGATTTGGGACTCCCAGCAGGGACAGTGGGGGCTCTCAGGGCAGAGATTCCAAGGATGAGTCCACGGGCTCAAAACTCGTCAACAGCATCCAGCAGGGGCTTCCAGGGGGCCCCATGTGCATCCTCAGCACAGTGGGCATGAAGCAGCAGTTTGGACACAGCACTAGGACTCCAAGGGGCTGGACATCTTGGGCTGCTCCAGCTATGTCCAGAGTTTAGGCCTCAGCTGTGGCAGCTCCTGCCCCGGGTGGGCACCAGCTCAGACCAACCCTCGGCCTCCACCATCCCTGCAGCTGTCTCTGACCATGAAGGGGCTCACAGGCCTGCACTTGCCAGACCGCAGGCCGGCTGGCATCTCCTCCTGGTGTCCATGGGAAAGACCCATGTGTTCAGATGCACAGGCCCAGGCAGTTGCCAAGACAGTCTTGTAGCCAGAGAGGCAAATAAAAACCAGTCTTGAGAGACTACAGCACCGCTGCTTTGATCCTGATGTTCAAAGTCAAATTGCAGGTCAAGGCAGGTGTCCCCCTACCTGGGCAGCTGAGTGTACCTGTTTGGACCTTCCCTGAAGACAGGAGCTCCAGCTGACTGTCTCACCTTCCCAGGCTCAGTCCCCAGCCACACACCACCTGTATCTCAGCTCCTTCCCAGCACCTCCCACTAGTCACTCCCTGGTACTGGATGAAAGGTGCTCAGGATGGGCCCTGCTGCAGCAAGAAGCCAATCCCAGCAGGAACAAGTCTCAGAACTTGTGAGATTTCAGCTCCTTCCCAGCACCTCCCACTAGTCACTCCCTGGTACTGGATGAAAGGTGCTCAGGACGGGCCCTGCTGCAGCAAGAAGCCAATCCCAGCAGGAACAAGTCTCAGAACTTGTGAGATCCAATGACTGTTTCCACCCCCACAAACCCTGAGTCTGAAGCGCTGCCCACCACCAAGCTCTGGCCACTGTGGTGGGCTCACCCATCTCCAACAGTGGCCCCAGGGAAGGCTTTCCCAAGAGGCTTTAAACTCTGCCCACCCAGCCCTGTCAGCAGGAACCCCCCCACCCCAACAGCCCCACTCACTGGAGTGTTAATATGGTTAATGTACAAATAAAATCCAAAGACATATCGAGAATCAAGAAAGTGCTGGCTCTGACCTCCCTCTTGCAAAGAGGACGAGCCGTTGAGCATCCACAGGAGCCACTCGGAGTTTATGGTTTCATTTGCCCAAAAATACACCTTTGGAGGACTCAAATTCTTCCCCCAAATCACAACCAGACATAAGAATTTGTATGTTCCCCACCCTTCCACCATCCCTCGGTTCCTCCCAGGAACTCCAAATTAAAAATGGACAGTCCGCCCCACTCCAGATCCTCTTCTATGGTTGTTTCTTCTCTTCTGGAGGCTGCAGTTTTGATGTGAATGATGGTGACGGTCCAGCACAGGGCCTCTGTGGCCTGTGTCACATGATTGCGCAGCACGAGTTTTGTTTCCTGGCCTTGAAAGAAAGAAAGAGGAGCTGAAGAGAATTGAGGAGGACCAGGTGGCCCCAACCTCAGCAAGTGTGACAGAGGGAGCTCTAGGAAATGCAGTTGGACAGGGGAGAGGAAGACCCCACAGGACTGTCTTCAGGCCTCGAGGGAAGATGTTCATAGCAGTTCACAGCACCAAGCACAAGGTGAGCTGCGACTTCAAGTGCTAGTCTGGGATCTTTATTTTTTCTATTTCATACCCCATTAATACTATCAAAAAGTGAGTAAAACTGCTGACATCAGGCCAGGTTCAAGCAAGGAAACAGCAATGCAAACTGGAGTGGCTGGGTATCTTAGTTTTGCCACCACTCTTGTCAGTGCATCTGACCATACATGGTGGTATTTCTTCCCAGAGGATGGGCTTCAAGACAGACAAACATGGTCCCCACTCAGTGACTGCTGTTACCACCCTCTCCCTTCCTTTCTGGGCACAAACAATCCTCCTAACCCCACTTGGCCATCTCCCTCCAAGGTGCACACGAAAGCAAATGTGTGTGGACAGACCAAGGAAAGTTGTCCCTACCACTGTCCAGCACTGGGCCAACATGCCATCTCCCCCCAGGAAGCCACCAGCACTGAGCTGAGAGGAAGAGGCAGCTGGCATTGACCACCTTGTCAATGAAGTACTCTGTCAAAGGGAAATTAACTAGAGGCTTAAGGATGAATGCCTAACTGCTCAGCAGACAGAAGGAACAAGGGCAAACCCCTGGTGATCAAAACCTGAACCAACTTCTGCCTTCCTGAAGAGGAGGTGCAGGTTCAGAAGTCACTGAGGCAGAGCAGCAGAGAGCAGAGCAGAGGCAGGGCGGAAAGCCTTCTGCTTGCATCTGCTCTGCACCCAAGTGATCCTGCTGCTCCTCAGCTGGGCCTGGGGCACGCACAAGGAGTGAAACCCAAATCTCAGAGGCAGGGCGGAAAGCCTTCTGCTTGCATCTGCTCTGCACCCAAGTGATCCTGCTGCTCATCAGCTGGGCCTGGGGCACGCACAAGGAGTGAAACCCAAATCTACCATGATCAAACAGTCCACAAGAGACCCACTAGTAAATGGAGTGACAGAAGAGACATGCCTTCGGACAAGGGACACCCAGGTGTGGCCAGGCGCTGGGTACTCACAGTTTTATAGAAGGCTTTAGACTGCGTTCCCAGCACTTCAGATTTGGACACCAAGTCGTCTAGCTTCTCACCTCGCTCTAACAAAGACTCCATGGTGTTGTGCTGGGCAGAAGAAAAAAGAAAACTCTTTGCTCTGTTCAGTAAGTGACTGCTGACAGGAGCTCTTCGTGGATGTTGTCAAGGGAGAAAGTACTTCCTCTGGGCTCTTCTCCAACACACGAACATTTCTAAGTATTGGGAGTCAGTCACACAAATTACTGTCCCAGTGAACAGAACAGGACCTGGTGACATTCCTAAGGAATCTGCAAGTTCTAACTGGGATGAAGAGAACTGGCCAAAAAATCATCCCCAGCACAGGCTTAGATAACCACTACTCTGGGAAAGCTCATGTATACACACATTTATATATTAGTAAGTATGTGTATGTGGTGACGGTTTCTTTGGGAAGAGACCTGTAGCTGGGCACTACATGACTATACTGGGTTGAAAAGTGGCCCCCAAAACTTATGTTTACCCAGAACCTCTGAATATGACCTTATTTGGAAATAGGGTCTCTGCAGATATAATCAATTAAGATGAGGTCACACTGGATTAGTGTGGGCCCTAATTCAATGACTGATGTCATTAAGAAAACAGAAACGCAGACACACACAGAAGAGAAAGCCATGTGACGATAGAGGCAGAGACAGAAGTGATTCGTCTATAAGCAAAAGAATGCCAAGGAGTACCAGCACCGCCAGAAGCTGGAGAGAGGCCTGGGACAGATTCTCCCTCAGAGCCTCCAGAAGGAACCAACTCTGCCAACACCTTGATTTCAGACTTCTGGGCTCCAGAACTGTGAGAGAACAAATTTCTGTTGTTTTAAGTTACCAGTTTGTGGGTTTTTGTTAACAGCAGCCGCAGGAAACTAAAAGAGTGGGAAATCTGTGCCCTCTGACACAGCAGCTGTGGACAGCTGCTGAGCACTCGGGATGAGGTGAGTCCAAACTGAGATATGCTTTAAGTGCAAATACCCAGACTTCAAAACCCAGACTCAGTATGCAAACCATCTCATATCTATTTATACTGATTACATGTTGAAAAAAATACTATTTAGATACATTAGGTTAAATAAAATATGTTAAAATAAATTTCAACTACTTTCCTTTTATCATTTGAAAACATGGCTCCAGGACACCAAGAATTACACACACGACTCCCATCTGTATCATGTTCCTCCTGGACAGCTCTGTGACAGAACTTGTCCTGGTTCCCTAGAAGGATTGTGCCCTAGACATCCTCACTACAAACCCTGCACTTAGGAACCACCCTGCAAAAGGAACCACCCTTTTCGGAAGGGATCTAGGGATGGAGGACTCAAGAGAGCCAGTGGCCCTGCTGCCAGGACTCAGGAAGCAGTGGCTCACTTCCCTCCCTAGGCAACTGCTCCTAGAGCAGCTGTATACATATATGAAATGTCACAGAATGAGGAACTGGCAAAAATGTCCTTTATCCCTACACATCTGAGCAACTCAGATTTTTAGCATGAAAAGTTAACTGGGTTAAAACAGACATCAATAATCCAAATTTTACAGCAGCAGCTAGAATGGGGCTGGGCAACATGACTCATCCAGTCTCCATAGTGGACAGAGGAGAGAGAGAGTGGGTGTCCCAAGCTCTGTTGTACCCACATACTCAGACTCAAGAAACAGAAAGGACAGACAGAGCTTGGGTAGAAAATGTAGAGAAATGCCACCTGAGTGGTAAGAAAGCTCAATGGGTTACGAAAAACAGGGAGACGCCTTGAGATCCTCACATCTAACTTTTGTTCCAAAGCCATGTTACTCAGAGCACTGTCCAGAAGTCCTATGTTTGAAGCCCCTAGGATGCTTTTTATAGAATGCATATTCCCAGGCTCTGCCCCAGACCATCGTGTCCAACCCTAGGAGACACCAATGCACACTAAAGCCATGCTGGTGAGGTCAGGAAAGCTTCATACTGCGGGTGGGTTTTTGCTGGGTTTCATATCTACCCATTTATGTATCCATCAGCTGCTGAGCACCAGTGTAAACTAGGTATTATATCGTGAGTGGGAACGGAAAGATGCTGCAGTGCTCACATGCTGGTCAGGAACACATGTAAACAAGCAGTGACAATATGGTAACATTCAGAAAGGCCCGAGTGTGGGGTACTTGCATACAAGCCAGGCAGGAAAGGGTGTAGGAAAGGACAGGGCCCAGTCATGAGACTGCATTAGGAAGTCTGCACTTTATCCTGGAGCAGATTCGAGACCTGAAGGATGTTAAACAGCAAAGTGACAGATCAACGACTGCTGTCTGGTGGACAGACTGGAGGTGGATGGGAAGCAAGGGGACTACTGAGAGACAAAGGCCACAAGGGCTGCACCTAAGGTAAAAAACAGATGGCTGTTCACTTTCCACATGCAGTGCAGGATTGAAAAAAAACAAAAAAGAAGTAGAAGTAGCAGTTACAAATCAGGAGATTTCAGGTACAAATGCAGGCCACCAGCTCCTCTCAAACAGGCCTCACAACCCGGGGCCTGTACTCCAGAATGTGGCTGCTCTGCAGTCAGTGCGGTGTACTTCGGTCTGCCCACCTTCAACCCAGACGCTGCAAGGGGAGGTGCCTATCAGGGGGTCTAAGAACCGCCCTAACAAAGTCACCAGAGGAGGGGATCATGTACTACAGAAGGTCAAACCCTTGGAACCAGGTTAACTGCCCAGACAGGGAGCAGCCATGGGAAAGAGAGACTCAAGGGCCACAATGGTTCCCAGCTTGGCCCCCTATAAACAATGAGTGCTGTGAACCAAGACAGGGGTACAGGCGGAGGGACAGTCTGCCACACAGGGTGGTGAGGGCAGGAGTGCTTTGGTTACTATAGAAACAAGGACCGACTGAGTGCTCAGCCAGTAGCAAATCCTCCTGCCCCTTGGTTCTTGGGTTTGCTCCACCTTCCTGCTTACCAGGATTATTTTGGTCTCGTCTAGTTCAGCCTGCACTTTAGTCATGGGGTCAGCTTCTCGAGGGTTCTAGGAAAGAGCCAAAAACAAGAACAAAATCAGGACTACAGAGGCCACCCAGAAACAAGGCTCAAAACCAACAAAGCTGGACAAGACTTCAAAGGTTAAAAACCACAAGAGAGAAACAAAAAGTCTGCCGAGAGCTTGAGTTCCCAGGTCCAAAGGTGTATTCCCTGTGCTTTCAAATGGAAGGATAGAAAGAACACTGGCTCGGAAGCTGTCAGAAATTACCAGCCAAAACCGTCAGAATAGTTGGCTTTTCAGTTTCACAAACATTCTGGGCCACATGGTCTCTACATGATGTTTCTTTAAATCCTACCTGGTATCTACTGAGGTAACCGTCCAGGGCATCATAATGGATTGTAGCAGGGGAGCCCACGGGCCAGTCTATCCTGTCAACCTGCTTGGAGAATTCACCTAGAACCTGCAAGACAAAGGAGCCTGAACAAGTCTCCCACGTTGTGTTCACTAGCACACTCAGCGATAGCTTCGCCCTGAGCATCCCATCCTGAAAAAGGCTCCCAGGCCCCCCAGAGCCCAGGGAGGAGGGAAGAGGGAGCTATCTAATGGCAAGGGGGAAAATCTAGGCTAAAGTTCCTCTTTTCAAATTTTTATTATCATTAAAACATATCCTAAGTATTCTGGGGATCAAAAGGTAAGTATACCTACCCTGCGATAAACCTCACTTGGGGAATGATAAACGTATTTGAACTTCAAACTACGGATCTTCAGGAAAAAGGGGACTGGCCCTCTAATTTTCTGAAGCAATTCTTCAAAAATGGAATTTGGTCCTTTGGATTTAATCAACCACCAGATTTCCTGTGCTTTGAAGTGTTTTAGTGCTTTCAGGGTTAGAATTAAGCCTCTGACTTCAAGGAGTTTATAATTAGCTCCACAAAAAAAGTTAAAGAATACCAAGGTGCTAAGCTCTGAGGTCTGACTGACCTACATCAGGGAAGAGGGCTATGGTAACTGCGGGAGGCAACGTGGAGAGTGCAAGGATGTTCAGAGCGGCGCCTGGAGCAGAAGCACAGGGACAGGAAAGCAGCCATGAAAACACGAGGCACAGCTGTCCCCGAGGGCCCAGTCCAGAGGGGAGATGCTGCACCTCAATGGCCTGGACTCAGATGGAACAAGGGGCAGAAGCCAGCACCAAGGACAGAATCTGGGCAGGGATGCCAAACTGTCTATTGGTTTAGGGTAAGGATGGGGGCCAAAAACATGTTGACTTTGGCATACCACTTCATCCCTTATGCCTCGGGCACTGCAGTGACCCCAGGACCCAGTGCATGGATGCTCCAATTCCAGTCCAGACAAACCACAAACTCACCTTCTCCAGCAAGGTAAAGGCTACCCGGGATGGGTACTCATTATCAGCAATGACCACACCTGCAAGACCGTCATTCCGGATGTAGACATGGCACAAGTACTCTAAGACAACAAAAGATCAGACACATGAACAGTGACGTGAGAATTTCAGGCTTTTTTTAACCTCCCAAATTGGTCAAAGAATCACAATGCTGGGTTCCTGCCTTCAAGGTCAAATGAAGCCACTCTGAAGCTCACCAGATCTGAGCAAGGCTGTGGTGAGGCTTGTGACAAAAGATCAGACACATGAACAGTGACGTGAGAATTTCAGGCTTTTTTTAACCTCCCAAATCGGTCAAAGAATCACAATGCTGGGTTCCTGCCTTCAAGGTCAAATGAAGCCACTCTGAAGCTCACCAGATCTGAGCAAGGCTGTGGTGAGGCTTTCCAGTCTGGCTCAATGGACCACACATGGGAGCTTAGGCCAACACGTGCTCCAGCAGCAGCAAGTGCCCAGAGGCCTAGAATGCACAGTGAAGGCCTAAAGGAGTCACCAGCAAAGCAGAAAACACACCCCAGGTAACATGGCCTTGGGAGCATGTCCAAGTCTCTTCCTTGAGCTCAGGCCAGGTGGGCTGTGTCTTAGGGATTCATAGCCCTCTGAGGTCTGTGCTGCTCTCAAATGGAAAGAACTCCAGACAAGCCAAGACACTTCCACTTTCTTTAAAAACCCTTTCAAAGCTCCCAGAGCCACAGTCTTCCATATCAGAGCAACCTTGCTCTGCCTGCTCTACTCTGTGGTGGGCAATTTTGGGGGTGCTGGGGTTGGGAAAGTCATCCAGAAAAAAATTAGTCACTGCTGGTTGAGGTCTACACTGTGACTGTACTGAAGTCATCACATGATCAAAAGGTACAATTTGTACAAAGCCTTCTGCAAAATATTCACAATCCACAGGATTGTTAATTTTTATCACTTTGAAAGGATTCAGACATGACACAGCTAACCACATCCCCAAAATAAGAGAAATGTAAGGATTACAGCTTACAAATAAGAACCTTCTTGTCCTTAAGGACCTGACCCAGAAGATTCCAATGCTAAGCAACAGAAAAACAAATAAAAGAAGAGGGAAAGATTATGAGCCCCTGAAATCAGAAAAGGGCAGAGATGAGGAAGAGGAGAATGGAGGATTATCATACATGCTCTCCAGATTCTGTGCACATTCCCAAGTAAGTAAGAATCAAACATGGGATCAAAGTGCACACACAGAAATCAAGAAGCTGGCCAGTGTCTGAGGAAGCATCTTTAAGTAATAAAGTTGGGGAAGGCAGACACAGTCTGAGGGTGAACCAAGAGAGAACACTGACATGTTCATGATTCAATCTCACTTCTGCACAGGGATCCCACATAGAGTACACATATTTAATATTGCCTGTTTTGTATCTGATATGTGTATCATCAACTCACTAACTCCACATCATGTGACTCGAGGCCAATGAATGTGTGAGACAGTCTTTGCTGCTACCTGTTGAGGTTCATGTAACCCTTTCCTGACCTAACATATACATCTAAAATAAATGCATAAAAACTCTCACACAAAACCTGAATTACGAAGAAAAAATAATGTGTTTTCAGATTCCTGGTCCAAAAATATCTAAGCAGCACAGAATGCAGTATTACCTCAATAGTACTAGCTGTAAATCCTTTTTTGAGGAGTCAGCAACTCTGGAGGAGAAAGGCAACAATACCATATGAAGGTTGCTCACTGCTCTAAGACAGTGGGACACTCATCTTAAGTGAGTCCAAGCTTTGGGGGCAATTTTATCCAAAAAGCTTAGACTTCAACAGTGGGCACAGAATTCTGTGTAAATAGGAAAAGGGGGAGAAGGGAAGAGAGAACAAGCTAGCCGAGGGTGGGGTCCCGACAGCCCTCTCCATCACACCGCCCAAGGGCAGTATACAGTCCACACAAACTCACAAGCTGGCTCCTCTCACCTTGTTCTTTGACAGAAGCTCTGCTGCCTTTCGCGGAGCGCTCCACAATCAGCTGGCTTGTGAAGGTCATGAATTCCTGCACACTAAGAAACACAACACATATTTATCACATTCATCTGTCACCTTGTCCCCAACCCAATGGAAAATGACCTCTGAGCTTATACATCAAGGAGACATTGCTTCTTGGTTTCTTTCCTTTCCCTCCCAATGCTAGTAACAAATAATAAACACTGTACACGAACACAAATACAGATAATTATGAATGAACACTACCATTCAAGCCACATCTGCGTGCTACCTAGCTCATCAAAACAACCCACTTCCAGACTTCTGGGGAATTTTGTACAGGATACAGTCAATTTTACACTTTGTTCACAGCATGATTTGGGACACAGTAGAAAAGCAGAAGACACTTCCTGCTCTCAAGGGCCCCATTAACTTCCCAAAAGCAGGACAAATAAAAACTGCACTAGAAAAACACAAGTGGAAAAAACTGTTACACAGATGCACAACCAGTTATGGCTGTGGACACATGACAGACCCTGGCAAGGCCACACACATCTGCAGCAGGGGCTGGCTCAGGTCTGCTAGGGCTCATCCATGGGACTAGCCCAGGGCACTCTGGAAGGAATGGCAGGAAATGGCTTAGCCAAGACAAGGAAGTAGGAAATGGCTTATACAAAGGCTGAGAAGGAGCAGAGGGTTCATGCTGGGCCCCAAAAGGGAGATCTGGCCAGAATGGAACAATCACAGGAAATGGTCCAGCCAGAGGAACGGGTGCTAACAAGGAACTTCTGACTGGGGATGTAACATAAGGACATCTAGGGCCATCAAAGCAGAGTCCTCAACCAGGCATCCAGAGCAGAGCTCCCCAACAGAGCCATACAGAAAACTGAAGATGCTCAGAGTAGGACTGCAATTAAGTAAACAAAGAATTTCATTAATTGTGACAGCCTGTACACAAGGGCCAAAAAAGCTAAGAAACCATTGGAAGGTTTTAGTTTGGGGCCTGGTAATCATGGGGCAGGAAGGATGGAAGTGAGGAGGTCTTATGAGAAAATAAGCTCAGCTGAAACATGTGTTGTATGAAGAAACACTAGTAGAGATGTCCCTTTAGTACTGTAGTTATTAGTCATCTGAAACTAATGTGAGTATACCATACAAGAGAGGTATATGTCCTACAGTGAATTCTCTGAGAATCTTGAGTATTTAATGGGAAAGAAAAAAAGAAAAAGAATCAGAGCCAAGTTGACACCAAAAATTCCATCAGAGAAAAGCAACAACACAGAGCAGAGAACAGAGGCCATGGTAAAGAAAGCAAAGTATCAAGAACTTCCAGAAGAAGCCAAAAGATGATGCAGCAATTCCACTTCACATACATACCAAAGAGAATTGTGAGCAAGGTCTTGAAGAGATATTTTTACACCCATGTTCATAGCAGCCTTATTCACAATAGCTAAAACATGGAAGCAACCCAGGTGTCCATTGACAGATGAATGAACAAAATGTGATGTATACATACAGTGGAATATTATTCAGCCTCAAAAAGTAAGGAAATTCTGACACATGCCACAACATGGATGAACCTCGATGACATCATACTCAGTGAAATAAGCCATTCGTAAAAAGACAAATACTGTATGATTCACTTATATGAGGAACCTAGAATCATCAAAATCAGAGAGACAGAAAGTATAATGGTGGTTGCCAGGGGCTGGGGGAGAGGAGGGAATGGGAGTTAGTGTTTAATGGGCACAGCGTTTGTTTCATAAAATGAAGAGTTCTGGAAATGGATGGTGTTAATAACTGCATAACACAATAAATGTATTTAATACCACTGAGCTGTACACCTAAAAATGGTTATAGTGTTTAATGGGCACAGCGTTTGTTTCATAAAATGAAGAGTTCTGGAAATGGATGGTGTTGATAACTGCATAACACAATAAATGTATTTAATACCACTGAGCTGTACACCTAAAAATGGTTAAGGTGGTAAATACTATGTTATGTGGATTTTACAGTTTAAAAAAAGAGCCCAAAAGGAGCAGAAAGTTTCAACAAACTAACAACTGAAATTTTTTTAGATCCAGCCAGAAACTCACTGGGGAAGCACTCTCATCAAGAAGAGCTGCACTGAAGCAGTGAAAACAGAATCCAAATGGCAGATTCCACCTGACTTTGAGACAAGCTGACCACAAATATGGACACTATGGGGTCTTTCGCCTTTTGTGCCTGCGTCACCTCATGCCCTCCCATGAAGGGGCTGCAAGTGTCTGTGGTCCTTCTAATACATACCCTCCTGCAGTTAAAGTGCCCCCAGAAACATTTAAAAAGCCTGTAAGTCCTAGGGATCCCATGCTTCCTTCCAAACTTCAGTAAACCACCAGTGCCCAACCATTAAAAAAGCAAACAATCTTAGTTTGAGTCCTAACTGGTTGTGGTATAATCTCTGGGGGCCTCGGTAACTTTACCCATAAAAATATCTATCATACTTAAGTTTTGGGAAAGCCCACGAAAAAATATAATGAGGCTCCCTGGGTCAGAATCACTGCGTGGGAGGTGTTGGTTTAAAATATAGACTTCTGAGCCTCAATCTACTAGTTCAGAACAGTTGGGCGTTAACCTTAGGAATCTGCACTATTTCAAAGTCCCCTTATACTTCTTTTTCGACAGAAATTTGAAAAACACTGAGTACAGGACGATGTTCTAGAACGGCACAAGCTTCTTATGAGCGAATGCAGGATGACTCCTCTGAGGTACAGTCAGCGCTGACCGAGGAACAGGCCATGGCCGGGTTACACGGTGTGAGGCCAAGTCCCGAGCACGGGACCCCGGGCCCTCCGCGACCTCCCCTGGGCCGCCCCCTCCCCCGACCCAGAGCCCGCTCCTCTCCGCCCGGCCGCCTCGGCCCCGCCCGCCTGCGCCGGCACACCTGGACTTCTGGAAGAAGCTGAAGGAGGACACGTCGTACGCGGCTTTGAGCAGCACCGCTTTGGGCTCGCTTTTGTAGAGGACGCTGAGACTGTACAGC